AACTGTTACAATGTGGGCGGCCGGCCGTTACTTGTTGATTCGATGCCAATCTGCAATTGTTTTCAATATTACTATATCGGCACCTTTTGTCACGGGACGCCGTCGGAAACGCCGTCCCAACCCCGTCGGAGCGGCAAGATCAAAATGTCCACAATGACTGAGCACCCCCCAGAGACCCGTCCGGCCGTCGGATACGCCGTTTGGACCCCACCTGTGCCGTCCCAAGCGTCGCCCGGCCCCGCCCAGGAGCCCGTCCGGGAGCCCGTCCGGCAGCGCGTCCAGCAGCCCGCCCGGTAGCCCGTCGGAAACGGCGCCCAAACGCCTTAAGAAACGCCCGGACGCCGTCGAAAACGGACAGTTCTGACGGCGTCCCAGGCGTTTGAGGCGTCCTGGCCCGTTTCTGGCCTTTGTCCAGGCGTCCGTAGTCCCCGTTTACCGCCAGGGACGGGCAGCCGTCCCAAACAAACGGCCACCACAAACGGGCGTTTAAACGGGCGTTTCTCCGTCGGGGACGCTTTCATTTTTACAGAGGTGTAAGAAAGAGCCGGTAAGAAATAGACAAAATTTAAGCAGTTCATAGAATTCATCCACAACTCGCCTGGAGTCTCAATTCTCTGTGAATATTTGAGTCTCTGTGAAGGGAAAAAGCGGAACTTTGAGTCTGACTCATCGATCGAAACTGAAAACCTGTCCAAACACGAAAAGGCGAGCATGACTCATATGATGAGGCAGAATGACACAATATTTCGCACAAGACGATTGACATGAAATAAAGATATTCAAACTAATGTAACACGAATCTTAAAGACATTTTGTGCTTGTATATAGACAGAAATTCTTCAAGAAATGAGAAAATAAAAGACGAACCTCGAAAACATCTACGCCGTCACTTCCTGGTTCAGAGTTCAAAGTTCAGCTTCTGACCTTTCTAGGTCAAAGTTGGTAGCCTCGCTATGATGCAGCCGGCCCACATGCGGAAAATATTTTAGGTAGTTTCTTAGATATTAGAACGTTTGTAATAGGGTTTCTTAAAATCTGAGGAGACTTAGGGGAACGTTTTAAGAATCAAGATGTTACCAGAAGCGCAGGAGGGAGAAGAGACGATGGTGGTCGCAAGACTTTCCGGTGAGAAATAAATATTTTTTGTTACGCAGCATGGGCTGCCGGCTGGGGAGGGGGGCGAAGAAAGATGGCATGTGCATGTGCATGTGAGGGATTTGGGTTAAAAATCTATTGAAAAAATGATTCTAAACTATCAAGACTTCAAAGTGCTGGGATTGCGCCTTTCTATAATATTTCCATAATTTAGCTTATTTGAATTTCTGCTAGCTTTTGTAACCACTGAAACTGATTACAATTGTCAAATTTTCAGGAATTCAGGAATAAATTTTGGACAAAAAAATGTATCTGTTAAAAGTAAATTTCTGAACTAAAGAAAATTTCTGAACTAAAAACAAAGAATTTCAATGGCGTCACTGTGCCACCAGTGCACAGAAAAGGATTTCACATCCTGAGTGTTTTTGAGGGGCAGTTTTCACTGCACATGTAAAATTTTCTTATAAACTTTTTATTTTGCCAGCCCCCGCCACCATCTGTGTGGAGCCGGTGGGGAGGTGGTTCGAGGCGTACGCTCACCGCTACCGGCACAAGAAGACGCTGTCTCAGCACGAGTCGGTCGGAGACAGCAGCTCCTCGGAGGAGGAAGACGAAGACCTTCGCGACGAAGACTTCCAGGAGGACCCTCTGCTGACCTCGCTCGACCCCAAGGACGTCAAGGTTAGGAACTATTCTCCAGCTCAAAAAGAAATCGACTCACCAGAATTTTCAACCGAATATCTCAGCCTTCATCTGCTATCTGACCTAAGGGTGCACACTTCAGCACTTTTGGTCAGATAGCAGATGAACGTTCATGCTGCAGTCTGTAATATAAGGTCTGGGAAATGTCAGTTATGTAGTTGAATGAATTTTTTTAGTCATTGAAGTGTCAAGTTTGGCTTTTGGAGAACATTGGTATTCAGACTATTTCCCAATACAACTTTGGTGCCAAATTTTTATTTAGAATTAGAATAAATAGCAATGATACTAGTTCATTGTCTTTGAACACATAAATATGGCTTTCCACTTATTCCCACTATTGATCTACTATTCTTACACCAGACCCAGGACCACTATGCAGTGTTGGGGATAGCCAAGCTGAGATACAGAGCTACACATGCCCAGATTAAACAGGCCTGTAAGTATGGTGTCTTAGTCACAAGCTACATTTGTTGGTTTGTTTCCACTCTCCGAAAGGCAAAACACACCAGCATTGTACAGCATTGGACAGAAAGTACAAGCTGCGGAAGACCAGACTGTAATGTTTGAACCACTCATACCAGGAAGGACCCCTGCTCTTGTTGATAACTGTGGTGGGATCTTTAACACACTATACCGGTAGCTATACATGTAGGTTTGGTTCTACCGGGTATATCTATAACTGTGAGATGGTATTTTTACTCCTGGGACAGAAGTATTGTTAAGGGTGGCACTGGTTTGAGGGAGTTTGTATGTTTGGGTTCCAGACACATCAGGCCATACATGATGTATGACAGCAGAATGGGAGTGTGTGTAGGAATTCAGTGGTGTAATATTATAAAATCCCCTCCACAGCTCCAATACATTAATGAAAACCCAAAATATGTCTCTGAAATCTCTGTTTTCTTGTTGTTTTGACACTTTGATATCTCTTCCAGACAAGCGTATCGTGCTGAAGCACCACCCCGACAAGCGCCGGCAGGCGGGAAAGGTCGTGAAGGAAGGCGACGACGACTACTACTCCTGCATCACAAAAGGTCAGAAGTCAAAGTTTAATACAGTCTTGCAAAAGACAGTGTGTACATGAGCTACTTTTGTAGGTTTCATGTTTATTTTTTAAGTCACATATTTGGAAAGCCAACTCACATTCGAAGCTCAAATACTGTAATGTCAAATCCCATTGGATATGCAATTGAGCATATCTTAAAAACAAAAGTGAATTTAAGAACATGTAATAATGATGTATTGTAGCGTCAGTTATCCCTAAGGTATATACACTTCAGAATCAGATATCCAGGTGTTCAAGGCCTCAATAATTTGTAGTATTAGGGTATCTGGTAGAATTGTGAGGGTTGATGCTACCGGGTACTATGTTAGCTTTACATGCACATGTTACTAACATAGCTTTGTTTGTTTGTTTTCCTCAGCATATCAGCTTCTCGGTAACAAAGTGTCCCGGCGATCGTTTGACAGTGTTGATCCTGAGTTTGACGACTCCGTCCCTCCAAACAACTCCAGCTCGAAGGAAAACTTCTATGAAGTTTTCGGGCCTGTGATTGCAAGCAATGCCAGGTGAGTTTATGGTGCAGTTTCTATCTGTTCTGCTAGGGGGCACTTATGGTATGTTAGAATGAAACCATCCTTTCCCCTCTTATGACTCATCTTGGGGCTTGTTTTTGCACTGTTTTAAATGCCCAAATAATGATGCTAATGTGGGTTAGTGTGTGTCAATATCATACAGATTGCCTTATTCAGAATATTGCCAGTTTTGTTGCCCTGAGAATGCATTGGAAACTTTAAATTCCTTTACAGTAATTAATTTTGCTGGGGAACAAAAATCTTAATGGCATCATATTATGGAATCTGCCATCTCTGGTTGTTTCTAAATTCAATTTTGTTTTTATCTTTTTTGACACAGGTGGTCTGTGAAGAAACCAGTTCCCAAACTTGGCACGGCAGACTCTACGTATGAGGAGGTTGATCACTTCTACTCCTTTTGGTAGGAAAATTGATTATGTTTTCCCCATTCTATAATCCATGTGTAAATGGTATCCCCAAATAAAGTGCTGTCCTCAGGACTTTATTTTCTGGTAGCCCAATGACTTGTATACAGTGCAAATGTTGATTACAACTTTGAATGTGTAATGATTCAAACCAGAGAACATTGACTGCTTTTGCTGGACATATTTGCTTGTTTGTTCTTAGTTTGTTGTCATCTATTGCGTGTATTTTCCAGGTATGATTTTGATTCCTGGAGAGAATTTTCCTATCTGGATGAAGAGGATAAGGAGAAAGGAGAAGAGTGAGTAATCACATTGGGAATTTCTCGCTGATTCTCACCTCCCAAAACATTTTGAACTCTAATTCAACCTTTCTGTCAATCTACGGTTACACCATTTCTCCCTTTCACTTTCTGTGACTCTACTGTATTGTAATAACTCAGACACACCAAAAACAAACCCTCCCTACACAGAGGTGATAAAAGATGATTGATTTCCTAATAGCTGATAATTGCTAATTGCTTATTGATCATATCTCTTTAATTTTCTTCCCAGTCGTGAGGAGAGAAGATGGATAGAGAAACAGAACAAAGCCGCTCGACAGAAGAGGAAAAAGGAAGAAGTGTCCAGAATACTGAAGCTAGTCGGTGGGTTGCCATGACAAAATTCCTTAATAACTTAAAAGTTAAATACCTATTCTGTGCCACGCATGTGGAAAGAACTGAAGAAACATACAGACAAAAAAAATTGTTGTGGCATTTTTTATACCAATTTATCCATCTATTATGCTGTCTTTGGTTATCTAATTGCTTATTTCCAGACAATGCCTATGCATGTGACCCAAGAATAAAGAAGTTCAAAGAAGAAGAGAAGAGAAAGAAAGAGGAAGAGAAAAAAGCAAAGAAAGAAGCAGCAAGAAAGATTGCAGAAGAAAAGGAGCGGGTTTGTGTCAATCAACTACACTTTTGTATACTGATGTTAGCATGTAGCCTTTTACATGTTGTAGTACGAAATTTGTGTTGGTTATGAGATCAGCAGCAGGGAGAGGGTTAAGATGCATTGCAAAAAGTAAGTTTGGTGAAAAATTTCTCAACTGTTCCCATCCTATGTTATCTTTGTACATTTGTATATGAGATTTAATATTGCATTCTGTGATCTAATTCATTTCCCCATGATCGTACAATACAGTTCTAATACATTCACTGATACCCAAAAACTTCCCCGGAAGTCTGAAATCTCAGATTTCTTGATGTACATTGTAATATGTCAACTTGGGCGGCCGCAGAACAAGAACTGCACAATAAAGCTGCACTAACATGCCTGTGCAGGTGCACAGTTTGAGGAATATTCCTGTTCTGTTTTGCAGCAAAGACAAGCGGAGCTAGAAGCTGAAAGGAAACAAAAGGAAAAGGAAGAAGAGGAAGCAAAGGCCAAGGTCAGGGTCATCTTAAATGATTTGTTTGTTCACACATCTACAGTCTAACATTGTACTTATATTAAAAGTCTTTTTCTCTGCGAGATTAGAAAGTAATTTCATTTTTGTTGCTGTTGTTTTCAGGCTTTAGTTGCCAAGAAGGAAAAGGAAGCAGCCAAGAAACAACTTAAAAAGGAGAGGAAAAGACTGAGGGACGTTTGTAAAGTGAGTTTAAGAAAAATATCTTGACTCTAAAAGAAAACTGTAAGTGTAAGTTCACCAAGACTTATTTTCTCAGTAGCAGGGAGGTGTTGTAAGTTGCACAGAGCATTTCTGTTTGCATTGTAATGATTTGATGTGAAAACCACAACGCTGAATATTTCAGAATTTACAGTAATAATCAGAGCATGCATTATGTTATAGTTGGAATATGCTTTAGAATGTTTACTTCATTAATCACAAAACCTGTTGTAATTGCAGACCAATGACTACTATGTAGAAGGTGAGAGTGACACAGTAGCCATGATGGAGTCTATTGAGAAACTCTGCAACAGACTTCAGATCGCAAGGTAAGATATGAACAAACTTGAGGTTCATTGAAGTACTATGTTACTTCTTTAAATGATGAAGACAACTGGGTAGTGGTCGAAAGTCTAATAAAGCCTTGTATCAGTCAAGTTGTACAGATTTCATTAAGAGTTCTAAATACACTGTATGGACTTGAGTACAAGTTTAGAGTATATTGTACAGGTCAAAGTTAATTGCACAACAATTGTAACAAGTACAATGTAAGGCAAAGCATATGTCCCTGTTAGCACATGCATAAATCAACAGGATTAAGATGTCCCCGATTCTCCTGACTAAGAGATGTTGGCCATGGAGCTTCTAGGTGCCTGATCCTCCCTTTTATCCTGTCCATAGTCTACAGGACCTGAACACAGCCATGGCTAAAGGCAGCAGAGAAGAGGCCAAGGCAGCCCTGGATAAACAGGTGAGTGCATTTCTGAAAAGAACTATTGCAGTTTCCTATATGCCAAAAATGTACACAGTGTACAAATTTTGCAGACTGCCCCAATAGTGTACAGCTACAGGGCTGAATGTGTGTGTGTGTGTGTGTGTGCACAAATGGATAGCGCATCTGCACGGGAATGGAACCATCATTGTTGCCCCCTTGCATTTTCTGTTCAGATAGAGGAGATGGAGACAGACATCCGTCGTGAGGAGGAGGAGAGGATCGCAGCGGAGAGGAAGAAGCAGCAGGAGTCGGTCCGGGCGAAGGAGAAGGGCGGGTCCGGCAAGCCGTGGTCTCCGGAGGACCTGGCGCTGCTTGTGAAGGCCGTCAAAACCTTCCCTGCCGGGACAGTGTCACGGTGAGAAGCAGTGGAGGGGGCTTGACTTAATCCTCTTCGCCCGTCCTAGAGCACAGGGCTTCAGTGAACGCTCTCCACCTCCCTCGGATCCTTGCGATCGTCTTAAACTCGTGCCACAAGGTGTTGGCTGCTGTTAGGTCCTTCCTGACACCTCTCTTACAGCAGTGGAGGGGAGGAGGGACGATATCTAAGGTCTTAAAGGCACCCGAAGTGGGAAGTATTTCAAGGCAGTAAAACTGGGTTTTCAAAGTCAATTTTCTGGTCATTTTTCAATGTATTAAGTTCAATTAATCAATGCTATCCTATAGCATACTGATATCTGTGATCAGATACAAACCAGCCAACGGAGTGAACAATCTTAACAGTCAAACAAGCTTTGCCTTTTTTTCAACAGGTGGGAAGTCATTGCAGCCTTCATCAACGATCACACCACCACAGACATCAAGAGAACGGCTAAGGAGGTCTTGAACAAGACAAAAACTCTGCAAAAAGCAGGTCAGTGCTGTTATAGAAAACACCTTTAACTACTTTTTAACAGGGTCACAAGGATTGGACATTTGGACTTGACCAATATTCCATGCATTATAACCAAGGACCTGTGGGCTGTTTTGTTCAGTATTTACCAACTGTGAATTTTGTGCTGCCTGTCTACTATCCGCAGAGGATTCCCGTACTCTGCGGACGGAAGTGAACAAAGCAGCATACGAACGACTGGAGAAATCCACCACGGAAGCGGCGTCCATAAAGAAAGCAGAGGATGCTGGGATATCCGAGAGGTTTGATGGTAAGGGACAGATTGAATGGCACTTGTGTATTTTTGTCTGACTCGACAGCCAAACGAAACAGTACACAAACAAACAGTAACTTGGTGATTCCTACTTCAGACCCATCGGTGTACCAGTTCAGAACCGGTCCTTGGAACGCAGATGAGCAGAAGTGTCTGGAACAGGCGCTGCGGACGTATCCGGCCGGGACAGGGGACAGATGGGACCTGATCGCTGAGGCTGTGCCGGGCCGGAGTAAGAAAGACTGCATGGTCAGATATAAGGTGGGATATGTCTTTTCTTCTGGTCAAATCTATGTGTCTTATGATGACAATAACTTACAATATGAAGCAAGTTTGAACTGTGATTTCTAAGACAAGAAGTTGGACTTACCCAAATTTTCAACTGTACAACTCTCTGTGTTGCGATTAGTCAGCTGAAGGAAACATGACACTTTCTTTAAAATCCAAGAATACATTTGTGAATTAATAGATATTATCCAGTGATGTTCCTGCTTTTTTCTTATAGGAACTTGTGGAGTTGGTCAAAGCCAAGAAAGCAGCGCAGGCAGCTGCCAAGAAATAGCATCTGACATCAAATCGAAGCAATCCTTACATGCCAGAATGTCTACTCATGATATGGCCAACTGTTCGTGCTTTGACTATTGTCTCCTACTAGCGATGCCTTGAAAAACAGTCTCTCTGTAATGAAAAAAACAAATCAATGGATTAAAATATCATTGCAGACGAAATGTGGATGTTGTTTCTCCTGTACTTACTTGTTCTGCATCACTCAGTGGAGTATTATATGACTTTAGAAACCAGGACATTAACTCTTTTCACCGTTGGGTAACTTCTCTCTTTCAATGGGTGACATGCTACTGCTTACCGTTATAGTTCTGAAAAAGAACTAGTTACCACCCGTTAAGTTAATTATGATAAACAACTTACTTGCTTGTAGAAATCTACACAGTGGAAAGCCTTTCGGCAATGAACTGTACAAAATGCTGAGGCATTGTGAATAAGCAAATTGTGGAGAAAACAACAGTTCATGAAATGTGTCCTACCTTTTTCTGTTGTCCTATGCATGTTTTCCAATGACCTCTTAAGTTTTCCCAGATAGTAACAGTAAAATATGTGGCTCAAGTCATATTTAGGTACAAGGCTTTTATAGGTTACTACTACATGTATTTGATTGGACTGTTGTCATCGATCAGTATATAGTGTTTTTTTTTCTTGTGAGAAAATTCCTTTTGCTGCTGAATACCAAAGTGTCTTCACAGAGACTCTAGGAATGTTCTATAATAAAGAGACAATGTTGTTGTTTTTTCTATGAAAATAGATCTCTTGATTGAAGTTATTTGACGATATCATGTTGCTAATGCTCTTTTAATGAAATGAAATACACAACAGTGTGAAACTTATCAAATTTTATTTGGTACAACAAGAGGGTATATATAATACATTTACACCAAAACACACAGCTCTCACTTGAATAAGAAAACTACAGTGTGCTGTTACGCACAGTTTACATCCATCATTTGCAAATTCTCAAAAATTGCACTACTGCATTCTAAAACACTGTATACTATACAAAACATAGTACTAACACTGATACTACTAGTATATAGTGATAGTCTCTCAATGACAACTTCAACAAACAGACTGGAATGTTGTTGTTTTTTCCATTAAACAGTACTTTGGATGGTTTCTCCACCAACCAACTAGAAACTACATAGACTTTACTAATATATGTATATGATAAACTCTTAAGACACACTTTCTATACACTGTACTAGACTACCTAGAAATATATGTTCAACAAACTCTGGGGTCTACGCAAAAGTACATGTAAATCTAAAACAAATGCTCTACTAAAGGCTAGCACCTGAGACTACCATTCCATGGGCCTCCCTAAATACTTTTAAAAAAATAGCACAAAACAAACCTCTTAAGTGCTTAAAACAGCCACTGCCCTCTAACACTTACTGTACAACACTTACAGTTCACTGAGGACCATATAGCAGATTGACAGTGATACACTGCACACTACACTGAGCTTTCCAAGTTGGATATCCATCTTATTGCCTTGTATTGCTTCCATGCTTTCTTAATAATACTAGTAGCTACAATGTAAGTACATAACTGGCAAGTGCACCTCAATATGACCTAAAAAAAGGTATACTATAAACTGACCAACTTCTGTCAACTTGTGCAGAGGTCTATGCTTGCTTAAATACCATGGCACCAAAATCAGTGTTATTTGCAAAGTCTCATTGCCCAGAAGGTTGGACATTCTAATTACATTGGCTAAAATGTACGTAAATCAAATAGAGCTTTCATTTCATAGCATCAAATGTGTACTTAATTTTTCAATATTCATCACAACATAAAAACGTTTGAACTAAACTGTAACACTTGACATTGCTTAATGAATGATTGTAGTGCTGTAACGGTCAAAAAGTTCCTGAAAATTGATCTTACACAACTGGAATCCCCCACAAAATTGATATGATTAAGACAATAATTCCTCTCTGATCTGCATCTAATATTTGAGTGTAAAATACTGATTGATTGTGATCAGCTTCTCTTTGTAAAATGTAATTGTTCTTACATACATTGTGTAGTTCACAAACAATTTCCCAGGGCAATGCAGAACCTGGTTGTGAGTGTTGATGTTTTCTCACTAATATAAAGTGTTCTCAATGCAGGCTAAAGGCATTCCGGTTGAGGTTGTCTGTGCAGTATCAAAATCCTTGAGATAAGGTTAGACTGCAAGACACTTAAGAGAGTCAACTTAGGGAAAACTCTAGGAAAGTTGAAGATGATAGTTGTTTTTTTGTTTTTTCATCTGGTGAATTTTCCTTAGGTTAACTCTAACAAGTGTCTAATCCATGGTAGGCCTGTTGTCGGTGGTAACAATAAATATATCAGGTGTGGTAACTATATAAAAGACTTGGATCTAACAAAATACTTTTCAGTACCAAAAGTAAAAAACATACAAAATGTGGGCTGAGATTTCTGTTTAGCAGAAAATGTATGACTATGAGTTATCACTTTTCACTTAAAAATACAGATGTTCTGTACCATATAGAAAGGGTTGACACACGTACACGAGCGATAGTTTAAGTACAATCCTGGCAACATTTCAACTGTCTGCAACATCGTTTGGTAGTGCCAGAAGCTACACTTGTCCCAATGGCCCATGGCCACTTACTATATTGGCATTGAGCCAACCAAGCCTTTCTCTGTCAGCTGGCAAAGCTATCACGTACAACACTTACATGTTCAGGGTTTTGCAGAGGTTTAGACTAAACTGTGGCATGACTACATACAGGCTTTGGGCAACAAGCTTTAGGCCATTGGGAAATGCTGTTTATTTCCAACACTTCATTCACTTTCCAAGGTCAGATATATTGTGGAAGAATATGAAGATGCTGCTAGTGTCTACGCAAGGATATCAAAGTGCTCTCATTGGAGTTAGGCTTGTAATTTTTTTTTAATCTATAACAAGTCTCTGATTTTAAGAGCAATGAGAAAAATTGTTGCTTTGGTGGGTTTGTAACATTCATCAAATGCTGACAGTTTTCAGCAAAATGATATATGTAGAACCACAACTGACATGGTTTGGCAAGATTTTGTAACACTAGCAACCTTCCTCAATCCTTCTACTTCTCTTACACAGCTCTCCTTTTGACAACAGAACCTTACTGTACAACACAGCGGGGATATGTGAAAGGTAAATCTTGATACACAACTATACATAATACATGTGTCCGTCACTAGTACGGCTCCCAAGGATACACATCTATATGGTTAAAGTGTCCGCCCTCCCCAGCAGTGCAGCGTAGACAACGGGAGTTGTAGGATGGGCTGCGGTTCAGGTAGCCCAGGACGTGAGGAAGAGGCGACATCTATGCCGGGAGAGAAAATATTGGCGCAATGGTCATGTTAGTTTGATGATACAGGCAGTCAAGGGTCATGGTACTAGGGGTAAGATAGCACATTGGCAGAACATACCGTACTACTACGACCACAGTTTCTTTTGGATGTTTGGTCAATGTTGATCAGAAGTTCGTCCATTGCATGTCTTTTCCAACACATTGGAAAACAACAGATGGGACGTCATCCTTACACAAACGAACACGACCTGAAGCAATACGTTCTGTACATGTTCTGTACATGTCCTGTGTACCGTGCGTTCTGGACAGGTGCGGTACGTTCTGCCAACATGCTGGGTAAGAAAAGATACACTAATTTGGGGACATGCTAATGGCCATCCTGTGGCAAAGATTGAGTGTCACGCTGGAGGTCACACTTCAGTGGTAAAGGTAAAGGTGGTTGATGTGGCGAGCAGACCCAGACAGAGAACGCACACATGCCGGACTGTGGTACGGGATCGGGAGGAAGCCCTGGCCGGCGAAGGCTTGGGTCGCGGGCGCAGTCTGTCGAGGAAACACGGACGCCTTGTCAGTTATAAGGGCGGCAGTAGTTTTTTTTTATTTGGGTCTCCAGTAGTGTAACTGTTTTTAAAAGCCTCAATGCCTGTTCTCCTATACATCTTCTAGCAAGACGTGTATGGTACAGGAAATTTCAACTAGACTAAGTTACCATGGCAAAAAATATCAACCCACATGCAAATGATGGCAAAAATCAACCCACATGCAAACCATTTGTATTGTCAGTAAGGTAGCTTTTGACAGATAGACAAACCAAGGACATTATAATGTCTTTGGACAAACTAACAACAGGATTAGTAATCTTAGGCTAAAATGTCCAACTTCATGTTACTCAACAGTACAGATTGCATTATAAACATACAAACATGCACAATTACTTGACGTTGAACCATCTATTAGCAATATGTTAATGCAACAAGTTTTATTACACATAAGCGGCCCACCACCCTCCAGAATCACACAAGGGTCCAGTACCTAGAAGAAGTGCGGTACCTTGCAGGGATGAGTCATCTCGCCGATAGATGGTCCGCAGGCCGGCTGCGGAGTGCCTGGCTGCAGCACCGGTGACATATAGGAACCGCCTGACACGAAGAAGCGGTGTGGTGGTGTTTGTTTCGGTGTGGGCCCCTCCTCCATCTCTACGGCAACATCCTGATGATTTGGAGAAATAGCACCATTCTGGTTGGCGTCCAAAGCCGTGGGGTTACTGCTACAGTCTATGTTTGGTTGGCTGAGAGGTTGGTCGGCCGGCCGATCGTCCCAGGCTACTGGTTGGATGTCGGTGTCCATGGATGTGTCGTCGGGATCAAAGAGAGAGAGGAGACCCTGGCAAGCCCGCTTGGGGTTGACAGATTCCAGGTCCACGTCTTCTTGGACGGAGAAGGCATACTCGTGCTGCCGCTTGCACCCTTGCACCTGCAGGTGTTCAAAATACATCAACACTGTCGATTAGCTGGTGAAGCAAACCTCACAGTGAAAACAGTCCTAGTAAGATCTACCAAGAAGGCTGCTTTGTTGCAGGCAAAAACAAAGGCACATTGTTATACCAGTAGGTGATGTACTTTTATGACGAGCATGGTTGCCAGTTGTATGACAGACCATGTGCTACTGATAAAAAGCAGTGCAGTGGAGGACTACACAACAACTTCTAATAATGTGGTTGTTCGTATAATTATTCAGGGCACAGTACGAAATGTATACCCTGAGGCAAAAAATTCTCCATACTATATTTCTTACATATCATGTAAAATAAAACAATGAATTTTTTTTTACAATGCATGCTTTCCTTGTCCTAGTCCTACTATCATCATACATTACAGGCTATCATTTTTCTATTAGTAATTTTTGTGCACAATCTTTCAGTAACATGGAGTCACTTTCACCTCACTACACATCTTTTTGTGTGAACAATGAGACAGTAACGGCCAACAGGTTAAACAACAACAGAATCACTTCCAGCTGACAGGCTTCCTATTGTTATGCAAATAGTAATCACACAGTAGATAATACCAGTAAAGGATTCTATTGTGTTCAGGAAGCATACTGAAGAAAATACTGGTCGGGAATTTGAATTTCTTCATGTGAAAAGATGTACATCTACAAATGTTAACTAACTATCAACTTTTTTGCTGGAGCTGAAAATCATTCACAAGTTTCAACCAAGTCAAATTTAGGCCTGGAGAAAAATTGAATACATTATATACTTCTCTTCAGTTTTCAGGGAAGAAGTTTTAAAAATCATCAGTTTTGTGATAGAATGTCCTTGGTTTTGGAAAGAGGCTTAGGCTTTCAAAGCATCTGTTAACTGCCACGCCCTTCAATCCAATATTCATATGCAAAATAAAGATCAAAGGAAAGTTCATTCACTGCCCTTTACGGCATTGTCACAGCAATTTCAACAATAGCTATTGTCACTCACTGGGCCTCTACATGCTTGGAAGCCATAGGGCATTCATTTATTATTCAACAGCCGTGGTCGATTACATATCTCAGTTTCCTCCCCCACCAAGTGTCACAGATAACACAATCTGTAACGATTTGCTCGAAATTCTGGGACGAGTCAAACGCGTTGTCCTTGGCCCACTTGCATATTTACGGACAGCCGCCAGGCGGCAGGACTGTGAAATCTGATACGGCGTGGGCGCGTTTTCTAGATCAAGTCAACATTTTCACCCCGTAAAAAGCTACATATGGACACAAATAAATGCTCCAACTCCACCCTTTTTGTTTTCCTACTGTAGTTTTTAACCCGAAGTGGCCATGTAAGAATGTGTGGGTCTGTTTTCATGGCGTCTTTTTCCATCCACACAAACAACAAACACCTGCGCATGCCGCGGGACCAGTATGAAAAGTGAAACAAAAAGACCACCGGTTTGCACACAAAGCGGAACAACGATTTTCCGGGAGGAACAACGATTTTCAGCGTAACTCACCTGATCCACAGGCGTGGTACTGTCCCAGCAGTGGTACGCTGCCATTTTGGAGAGATAACGCGATGATTTAACGGCCGCACGGGAGGTTTTTTCCGTTGTTGTTGAGAGAGAAGATTTGTCTAGACCGCCATCATGCTGCAGACGCTAACCTCTGACCTAATCCTCCTCAGCAACGACCCCATAGGTGTACACCCATAACCCGGTTAAGGATATCATTTTGTATCTAAAAACGTACATTGAATACATAGTGTTCATTATTTAGTATAAAACTATATTTTTACACAAGAAGCGGATTTTATTGGATTTCATAATCTTTCTTTCTCGATCTGAGGGGTCAATTTCGGCTCTCATTCTGAATAGCGGGTAAGTTGTATGCGGTCTTGTCTACACGGGAACGAGATCGTCGTGCCCAAGTTAGAGTGGGAGGAATGAAAGGCGACCATGTTTAGTGCTGTCTTGCTGGTTCTGTGCGCCTTTCTTATGCTGTGTTGGGTGACAGAAATCGAGCTTTTCGGGCTGTACCTGGTGCAGAGATACACCTGGGATGAGCTGTACCCTATTATATATCTCTGGGCCGAACGGTAAGTCCTAGAAACTGTTATTATTGAGACAGTAACCTTCTAACGTTATGTGTTAATCTAGGAGGATCAGCTAGTACACAAGACCAAATATTTTTGGCTTGGCCTGAGTTTTAAGTTCATATCTGTAGAGTCAAAACAAAAGTCTGTATTTAGACGAAAATATGTAACGTTAAGTTCTCAGGAAATAGTTGTTTTCATAAACCTGTAAAAGTAGCAGTAAATCCCAGCAGCCACGTCTGGCGAAAAAAAACACAAAAAATGTATTAATATTATTATTATTATTTTTTTGCTAACGTTACATTGGGTAGATACCGGTAGTAATTAGTTTGTGTCCCACAGTTTCTTTGAAAAATATGATTCTTACTATGGGAGATCCACAAAATATCGAATGCACTTCATAATTTTTGTGGACTATATTTCTGACCACGTTGTCAGAATCTTTTGTTCAATCAAGGACATTATGACGTTACATCCTATTCAAACAACACCTGTGCACTGCTATTGTTTGGGTTCCTTTTGATAGGTTTGTTGTTGTTTATAGAAGGCACGTCTTGTGGTTGACTTCTTATTGTTGTATTGGAGTATGGCAACACTTGGCAAGGCCTGAAGGCTATAACATTTTTATATATTCAAGCTCTGAACAGTTAGATTTGTAACTAGGTTTTGCTGACATTGTACTTTATTTTGTGTTGTTAGGTGCACTCATGAAAATGAAGTTCAGAAGCACATCAAAATATTACTATTAGCAGCTACATAAACCCCAGCAGTCTATATACTAGTAATTTATCCTGTGTAAGAACTAGGCTATAGTAGTAGTCATAACAAAATGCGTCAAATGAATTTCATCTACTCTTTGTTCTCCCAAACAGGCCTGATGTTCAGCACAACAGACGAGTTCAGCATTTCTGATGTGCCTGGAAATCTTCACTGTGGAGTAACAATGTTCCCTCGGAAGGAAACTGTAATTTATCTGGGACAAATCGGAGTTCATCCCGACGCACCTACTATATATACCAGTGAAGACAAAGGCAGCAATGAAGCACAGCATTTACACTCAAAGCTGAAGAGAGGTGACCAACAGCAACATGACACGACATGGAACTGTAATTCTGCAGGACAGAAAGTCAACATACCTCCCTGTAAGAATTGGTCCTCAGTGGAAGGCAACCTGGGAGATTTCCTAAGAAGTCCCACAGAAGAAGAGAACTCTAACTCCCTGACCAAGAAAATTTCACATAATAACTCCAAGATCAAAGAGACTTTACAAACCACTGTTGAAGTAGAAGTACATGTACCACTGTACAACTGTACACCTCTAGAACAAACAAATAGACAACTCATAGCTCAAAACTTAACTGTTAAAATAGGGGCCAAGCTAGCACAATGTAAAGGTATGGTAGAAAGCGGAGGGTACAGTAAAACAACACCTGTACAAGCAGTAGTGGTGATGCAAAGTCTGGAAAAAAAGTTATGGGTGGTGTTAAACAATTTGTTCAGGGCATATAGCTGTATGGTTTGGGCAAAGTGTATATCACAACAGCTTTGCATGCACAGATTAAGCCTTAAAAGGTAATATAATGAAAAAGTGTGAGGGTTGCAGCTCACTGCTTAAACATGTACTAATATGTGCTGAACATCACACAGAAAACATTAAGCAGATACATAATTTTAAAAAAGGTGTGGAGGTGTGTACAAAAGCACACTTCAGGTAGTTAAGGTATCATGTGCCTATTTGAGAGAAAAGTTTTTGCTGCCAAAGATATTGTCAATAGCTCTATCTTCTGTTTAGATAGATTTCTTAGCATTTTTTTAAAGGAAAGTCAGTGAAGTTTTTCAGAAATACTAACAAAACCTTCTGGTGTTGCAAGGAAAAACCAGATGAATAACTAGAACTAGAAGTGGCAGCAATTGATATTACAAATATTGATTATTTTATTCAACATTATTTTAGTCTCAGCTACTACTGCAAAGTATAGAAAATCAGGCAGCCAACAAAATACAGTACTGTAAATTCTTACGTAATATATTTTAGAGGGGACTTGATAATTTAAGTTGGAGGGAAAAGAAGGTTTTTGCCGCATGTGTCTAGTTGGCGATTGAAACAATCTTGTAGGGCTGTTGTAACACAGCAGAAACACATCTGCAGCAGAGGAGGTTGTAGCAAAAACCATGAAAATGATTATCATTAATATGACTCACACAGGAGCTTATTGTTGGAGCGTCAATGTCATAAAATGTACATTGTGTAAATGTGCAAAAGCCTTGCTTATGGTGCTGAAGCTGCTGCTACTAGTACTAGTCCAAAATATACAGGCCCAAAATTATTTTGAATAGAAGCTATTGTCAGAATAACCTGTGTAATAATGATAATAACAGCATACAAGGTCTTGATACCAGATTATATCCAAAAGGGTGAAAGGTGGTGGTTGCATGGTTAAGGCAATTATGTTAGAAAAGCTTTTTTTTTAATGTCCATGATTTAAGGGAGCACCAGAGATCTCCAGAACACTTTCTTTGATAGATGGTATTGAAGCATACATCCTTGACAGCTTGGATGTCAAGGCTCATACATCCGTGTATGATGAGCCTTCTTGGAATGTGGTGCACATAGTCATTTGCTTTGCTCTGACCCAAAAGTGACAAAGCTGTACACAAGCTTGGACAGTCAATCATTACGCACCACGGCTGTGACATCAAATTTCATGCAAGGTGGCACAAAGTATACAATTTTTGGCCAGGCCAGATAAGTTCAAAACTCTGTCAGAAATGTTTAGTATGAAGAATCAGTGCTAAAGGTATTTTGGGAATATTTTGTTTACCAAAGAAAGTGTTGTGAAGAGTTCTGTTGTTCACCTTTAATTGCTTGAAGATAATTACTTGAAAAACAGGTCAGAGCAAGCTTAAGTGACCTTCAGTGTATGCCCCCAGGTGGAATAGATTACATGTACTTCAGGCAGATGACAACTGTAATTCACTTTATGTTTGCTGTAGCAAAAGTTTGTGCTCTGAGAAAAATGAAGGTGATCACGGAACTGTATGTTTACAGTGGCGGCAGGTGCAGAAAAAAGAAAGCAAGTTATTTGTCAACGGTAATGATAAGTTCATATGTACAGTACAGAAAGTGAGATCGAAAATGGCAAACATAAAAGTATGGTGAGAAAGTCAGGAATTACAGTAATTTAATGAGGCTACAGTCTAGTATGCAGAGAATCATATAGACAATGTCGAGAAGAGAACCAATGTTAGATGCTATATGTTACGAAAAAAATCAATGCAACAAAGAATTTTGACTGTTGTGATCTAGCTAAATGCTAGAGCATAACTTTTGTAAAAGTTTTGACATATGGATGTTGCCTAGTATATTGTAGCTTGATAAAGTACTATTATTATCATTCGCAACTATAATTTATATATGAATCGTCAAGTTGCAACAAATTATGATGCCACCTTGAAGCCAACTTACTCTCATGCAGTTATTTATTGTCTAATATAAATGCTATTTTAAGTGTATCATTAAAATGATATGTTGAGGTTGCAACATCTGTTCAGGAATTACGGAATAAAAGACAAATAGTATTCCCCGACTGTTGTTATTTGTTGATCTTGATAATAATAATGTCGGTCAGAAGAAACTTTGAATTCACATTCTCTTCATATTTTCATGTTTCAGCATTTTTTTCTGATTTGAAAAAATCTCATTATATCATTGTTTTTATTCCAACATTTTCTCAGCCCTAGAAACAATTTTTAGGAGCCAAGAACTTTGGCAACTGTGGTGGCATGGGAACGAGTTTTTTTGTTCCACAAAGGATTCTGGGAGATAATTGGTTCCAGACGCCCCCTGGTGAGACGGCGGTCAGTTCGAAAGTGGAGGCTGTACACATAACGGTACACTTCAGAAAAACGTCGCTGTTTCCAGCTGAAACAACGGTTTTTCGGGGACAATCTGTAGCCCACGATTTCTGTACAATATTGGTGAGTAGCATTTTTGAGTTGACAAGTTCATTCACTGTTTTGTTATTGTTTGTTCTTAGTTTTTCTTCCTGTGAAATCCCATGTCAGTATGCGTATGTGTCCTTGGGTAAAGGAGGTCCATTTTATGACCCCTTTTCTACAATTTCTTGAGGTCTTCTTGTTTTCTTAAAGTTATAGTGTTCTGTGAAACACAGTTTCTAAGCGATAACTGTCACTAAACGGAGCTGTCAAACTCAAAGCTTTAGGAACATGAACAGAAGGTCTGGTCTAGTGACCGGGCCGGGAGACTAGAACCCGCCTTCTGCGCTGTCGGGGGTCCCTCGAGCCCAAGTCAAAATTTTTGGGCGGTCGCCAAGGACAATTGTGCTACAAAATCGACATTTCTTTGTTATGTTATTGTGCAGATATGTTCATCGATTTGCTGATATTGTAACTTGCCGTTTTGTCCGCTCATATCATAAATAATATATAGATGTTGGACCTTACTCTGCATATCTCTGGAATGTCTGGCCACCCACATGGGCTAGTCTCCACCAGACTTCTTTTGCGGGGTGAATAAATTCGTAAAAATCGGCCTAAAAAGGGTAATAATTGGCCAGAGAAGGTAGCCGGTCAGAGAAGCTCCATTTCCCCGCCGAGAAGCTTCTCTTGCCGGCTACCTTCTCTGGCCAATTAATACCCTTTTTAGGCCGATTTCTACGATTTATTCACCCCGCAAAAGAAGTCTGGTGGAGACTACACATGGGCCAGAGACGTACCAATAGTTATCATACTTGGGGGGAGGGTGACCGACTGCAGTCAAACTTTTTTTTTGTTGCAAAAATCAGTAACATGATGTGTTGATTTTTGCAGATAGTGTCGACTGTCATCATCACTACAGCTACTCAAGTTCCTGCAATCTCGAGCTTGTAACAGGGCACAACATCAGGCATGTATGCAGGAAAGGAAAACATAGAAACTACAAGGTCAAGCTCAAGTGTATTGGCAGAGATTCATCCAAAGGAAAATGCAATGTTCAAGTCAGAATCACCGATGACAACTGATGTCTGCAGTGACAAAGCTGAAGTCTCGGCCTTTGCTTGGCACACAGAGAGAGCCCTTCAGACACAGCGATCTCTCTCACACCAACTAGATACACTGGGCAACGTGGTAAAGCCAGAGCCAAAGGTTTACAAAAATCCTGCACCTTTCAACTTTCATCCCACCAGAGACAAACCGGGCTGTTTCAAGTTTGGTCCAAACTTTCCACCAACTAGTAAACCCATGTATATGAAAGTTGAATCTGAAAACAATGGACACACTTTTGGGGTTCAAACACCTCTAAGCTTCTATCAGCAAGCAACATATCCTTCGAGACCAATTCCAGACTATTACCAAAGACACTGGGACACTATGATGATGGCAAATGGACAACACACTGACAGCTTTCGTGATCCACAATTAAACCAGCAAAGCTGGACCTTGCCCAGTCCATGGCAATACCGTTTTGCATACCACCCTCAACAAGGCTATTTCCCATATAATACGATAAACAATTGCTTTCCAGTAGGACAAATGAGGTCTAGTGTTGTTGGGACAGACCAAGCAAGAGAGAGATCACAGATGCAGGAGATAAATAAGAGGGTAGGGAGCAACTTAGACCCTTTACAGTTTGCTGTGCCATTATCTGTCATCCAGCAGCCTCGAAGCATGGGCAAGGGAGATAGTCAAACACAAAAGTGGACTGTTGTGAAGCACGAGGACACTAGTATTGGGTCTACCATGGAGGAAAACATCACCCCACTGCTGAAAGAAAACAGCATCCATATCAAGCAAGAATATACGACAACACCTAAAGAGAAGACCACTCCGCTTCTGCAAGAAAACATTGTGCCAACTTTACAACAGAAATCTCACTGTCCGCCTCAAGACGAGACGTTTGGCTGTAAGACTTGCGGGAAGGAGTTTAAAGTGAAGTCGCTGTATCAGTCCCATCTGCAAGACCACAACAAGGGTTTCACCCAGGTAGATGACATGTTGTACAGGTGTGACACCTGCGACCGGGAATTTGCCACGACAACGTCCATCCTGTACCACCTGCGCATACATAACAGGCTCAGGTGTCCAGACTGTAATTTCGTTTGCTCCAAAAAGAAGGTGATGTCCAAGCACGTGTGTCGGTCCAAGAAAACGAAGAAAGAACAGGGGTCTAAGAAATTTAAATCGAACACTCAGAAGCAGACCGTTGTAAAAGAGGAATCAAATGAGCAAGAAAATGAGACCCAACATCTGCAAAAAGACGCCATCCAAACTGAAGATGCCACCCCACAAGACACCACCCCAACTCTAACCCACCAGAAGTCTAACCCACCAGTTCAGGAACTAGAAGAGAAGTTTGCATGTAAAACTTGTGGCAGAGAGTTTAAGGTGAAGTCCCTGTATGACTCCCATGTACAGGATCATATGAACGGGTTCACTCAATCCGACACTGCGACGTACAAGTGTGACACCTGTGACCGTGAATTTGCCACCCCGACAGCCGTCATGTACCACCTCCGAATCCACAAGATGCTGCGGTGCCCCGAGTGTAATTTCTCCTGCTCTAAGAAGAAAGTGCTGGAAAGACACGTGTGTAGGTTCAAGAAAGCGAAGACAGGCCGTTGTCAGACGTGTACGGCAACCTTCCCTACCCGCTCACAGCTGAACAAACACTACGCCCAGAACAGGGACCACCTGCCTATAGCCTGCCCATGGGAGGACTGCACCCTCAGGTTTGAACACCCGTCCGACCTGGCGAAGCATCAGGTGGTTCACACAGGCGAGAGCAGGTACATCTGTGAGTACTGTGGGCAGCGGTTCAAGCACGCAAATAACCTGAAGGTCCACATACGCATCCACACCGACGAGAAACCGTTCAGGTGTGACAAGTGCGACTACTCGGGAAGGCAGCAGCACGCCCTGGACTGGCACAACCGCAGCCACCATGGTATTCCCATCCCCAAGAGGTCAAAGGTTGATGAAGGTAACAGTGACAATTCTGTCCCTGAGGGGTCAAAAGTCAATGTCAACAGCGGTGACCTTGGCAGTCTAGTCCCTGAGGGGTCAAAAGTCAATGTCAACAGCGACGACCTTGGCAGTCCAGTTTCTGAGGGGTCAAAAGTCAATGTCAACAGCAGCGACCTTGGCAGTCCAGTTTCTGAGGGGTCAAAAGTCAATGTCAACAGCAGCGACCTTGGCAGTCCAGTTAAAGTCAAACTTGATACAGCTGCTAATTAGTAAGTTATGCTAATAAGTTACTATGGTAACCATTTTACCATAATTACAGTAAACATAATTTAGCACATTGTAACAGTAACTGTAACAGGAGCCTCCATTACAACTCAGGGACCACAAAGAACAGCAGTAACTCTAAGATTTGAAGCAGTACGGTATTATTTTTTAGCTGGAGAAAGGTATTTCAAATGTTGGTAGAATATAGCACTTATACATACAGTATATATAATCTAATATTTTATTTACATGTCTGTTAAAAAATATTTGGCTTCTCTTTTAAAACAACATGTAAACTAGAAAGTATGCCAGAAATCCTTGGCTTCTGACAACAGTCATGGAATGTTAACATGTTTTACTGTAGCACTAACACGTTAGCTTGGTTTTGCAGTTTTATTTTTGATCTTGTTCGCTTTCTTAGCCTTTTAGATCTTACCCTGTAATAATACATAGATTTATACATAAAACTGTTTTTGCACGAAATCCTATACTATTTATACAGATGCCCTGTTTCTATTAATATTTATCACATTACTTGTTCATTAGAATATTAAGCAAGTGTTTTCAAAGACACTAAAAGAATTCATGAAGTTGATTTTGTTTGAAGTCACCATGGTAATCTTCCCTCTATAGCCCAATACTAGTATCATTAAGATTAAGAGTTCCACAATCACATACCATAAATTAGTATCAGTTGATAATCCCCTGTATTTGTTTGTGTGTGTGTGTGTGTGTGTGTGTGTGACTGCAGCGTGTGTGTGTCTGTGTGTGCGCGTTCGTGTGTGTTTCTGGAATGCAGTTTCTGTATGTTCTGCCAGGGGGCGATCGTCGAGCTGGCCCCTTGAGAAGGTCAGTTTTTGGTCACCCATCCTCCTTCGCAGGGCTAAAATCCTCCGGTTCCTTCGAAGGAACCGGAGGATTTTAGCCCTGCGAAGGAGGATGTGGTCACCAGGCTTTGCCTAATACTCCTATGTTCGGCCTATTTAGCCTGGTTTAATACCAAACCTTTATTTAGTCCCTTTCGTCGCCTCCGCAAACAACAGAGGACGAAAGAGAATATCGACAGCTAAAATAGGTTTGGACACCAGGCTACGGCCTATTGCTTTACATTCAAGGACATGCGTGTTTACTCATTCAACCGCGTCGTTTGACCTAAGCAAGGACGTCCTTGACCTAAGGCGATACCAACTACACCAGAACTTGTTTGGAAATGGCAAGATGCATTTCAACGTAAGCTAGGTAACAATGATCGACCACCTGCCTATAAAAAAAGGCATGTTGCAAACGTTATCTATATCGACAGCTGATAGTTCCCATACAAGCACAGATAAATATGAAATACTTTCGCTGACCTACGTCGACCCCAGAAACGGACAACATAATAGTAGTCAAAAAATGGCGACTGTTGTGTCCTTTCTGTCGATCTTCGAGTTTTCCCGCCTGAATGTTCAGGCGTCTCTGGTGTTCTTCCTTGCTTTCCTCTTGGCGTGCCTCTATCTCAGATGGCCCAGGAACCTTCCCCCCTACCCGGTAGGATGCGTGCCTGTTCTCGGGCACATCCTCGCCTTGGGCCGAGCGCCGCACCTCAAGCTGACGGGCGAGTGGAGACAGAAGTACGGGGACGTTCTCACCATCAGGATAGGGATGCAAGACGTGGTACGTGTGTAACGTTAACGTTTGGGCTCTCATGTCTAACTCTTATTAGTGCTTAGGAGATAAGAAAGACACCGAGCGAGCAGTATGGCTCGTTGCATTGTGTACTTTGAAAACTGGACAATTTATGTCGGACAGTGCAAGCGATAACAGTAAGTCTACCAGAGCCAGGTCTAGTTACAAGTCTAGTCTAGTACCGATACGAACTTAGTAAATGTGTGATTACGGATGAGATCAGTATACAGTCTATGATCATGATATTGGCTAAATACACGCGCGTGTGCTGGCAACGTCTGGCTTGAAAACCAGCTGGCTAATTACTGCCACCGAAACATTTTTCAACCCCGAAACCCTTTAAGCGTTCCTAGTCTAAAGTGAGCCTTAGTATTCCAAGCTGCTCTCACCAGCTATTAGCTAATACTAGTACTGTTGATAAGATATCTTTACAATTTACATTGTTTACATAGATCTATAATGTCTGATCATCATCATATCGGCCTGTTACAGGTGGTTCTGAACGGCTACGCTGCCGTCAAAGACGCGATGGTGGACAGGTCCGAGCTGTTCGCCTCCAGGCCGCCCGTCTACATACCTGACCTTCTCACGGGCTTTGGGAAAGGTGTGTTTACAAAACTTTAGACACCTTAGCCAGGTAAACCATTTTTAAGGGCCTGGTTATTTAGCAGTGTTTTACTGGCGACCTCTGATGTTTTACTGACAACCTCGTTCGCCACTCATGATCAGTCGGCAGTTCCATTGCTAGTTTTAGAAAATGGCCAGGCCTTATGACACAATATACACCTTGAGACGGGTAATTAATCATTGAATAACTTTTTTTTTATTTCACCTGTTCCTTGCATGAACCCGAATACACAAGACATCGTCGGAGCTCGGTGGGGTCAGGAGTTCAAGCAGAGGAAGAGGTTTTCTGCCACCGTCTTGAAGAACCTGGGCATGAAAGTAGGGAAGGGCAGCATCGAGGAGAAGATTCAAGAAGAAGCAAGGTGCCTGTGTGACAAAGTAAGTCTGAGGCTACACCATTTCCCCCAGGCACTGCCTGCTGTGACTCCACTGTATTAAAATAACTATGGACACATGATGTAGACAAACAAACTAACGAACGCAACGATGACAAAACCTCCGTACATGGGAGTACAAAAAAAATATGATGGCCCATAACGACCTTTTCCGTGCCGGCGCGAAACCCTTTCCATGCCGAATGTGACCGAACGTGTGTGTTGTCCTCTGCAGTTCGCAGCATACCAAGGGCGAGCTTTCGACCCCGAATGTGACCTACAGGTCACGATCGCCAACGTCATCTGCTCCATGGTGTTCGGGCATCGCTTCGAGTACGACGACGAGAGGTTCCGAGAACTGGCCGAATCGATCGTTTTGACCCAGATGAACATGGTGTCTCTGTCTGGTCAACTCATCAACGTTTTTCCCTTCCTGCGATTTGTTCCTGGCTGTAAGTAAATGTATTTGCTTCTTTCTATGTTTACCTTCGCAGAAGGAAAATATATTGTTCTGCCCCGTTTCGTCTTCTTCTCCAAACACATAAAGTCAAGGACGTGAATCAGACGTCTGTCACCATGGTAACTGGTGCTATAGCAGACACCCTGTGGTATTGGATGACATTATGTAGCAAGGCAGAGTTGGAGGGGCTGAGCTGTCACATAATGCCGCCAGAACGTTCTTCAGCAACATGAAAGTAAACTGATGATGGTGTCGTCACAAGGCGACAATGAGTTCTCCGAATACTAACTAAGATAGACCCAAATATGTTTTGCTTTGCAGTGAACAACGCAGTCAGCGATTCGGTCCGGCGCGCCGAGAAGATCGAGAGGTTTATCTGGGAGGAAATATCTCGCCATCGCGAGAATCTTGATCGCGAGAACCCGCGAGACTTCCTGGATTTCGGGCTGATCGAGGTGGAGAGGCAGGACACGGTTGAAGGGCTGACAGAGGAGATGGTGATGTACATCACCCAGACTCTCTTCGTGGCCGGCATCGACACTGTTTCCACTACCCTCCGGTGGAGCCTGCTGTACATGGCTCTGAACCCGGACATTCAGGAGAAGGTACGATACATGTATTAATTACTTCCGGGACGGAAGTATTGTTTTGGGCGGCTTCGGTTTGTGGGCAGTTTGTATGTATCTTTTCCTGAGTAGGGAGGATTGGATGTGAGTGGGTGGCTTTCGGTTGATTGACAGGGTTGTCCCCCGGTATGCCCTGGATTTGGTAAGATGTGGTATGGAAGGTGTACTGTCTAAGTCGTACAATGACCATGGCCATTCGGAGGAGAGTTCTGCGATGACTTACTGGACATTGTGAGGAATTGCTCCTGTGTTGTTTGACAGGTTGCCTATATGCCTATATGGCCTGAGAGCCACAAATATATATACGCGGCTCGTAGCGACGTCATCGCGACTCATTTCGTGGACACCTTTGTTGTTCCTTCCTCCCGAAACACAGGTACATCAGGAGCTTGATGACGTTGTTGGAGACACCCTGCCCAGCCTGTCCCACCGTCCCCTGCTGCCCTACACGGAGGCCACGGTGATGGAAGTACAGCGGGTCCGCACCACGGTTCCGCTCGGCATCCCCCACGCCACCACCCAGCAGGTTAAACTGGGTCCGTTTGACGTTCCTGCCGGGACACAGGTAGGCTAGGACCAGACGCACATGTACAGTCTGTGTAAGGAGGAAAAACTACTATATATAATCTTCATCTATGTAAGCATGTAACTATCATTTACTACCTTAGCCTGGATGCTATCCTCCGTGCTAGTCTGTAGTTTTGTTTTCGGTGTGTTTGTTTCTTTGATTTATAAAGATGTAATAAGGAAAATTTATTTTATTTTCCACTATGACAATTCAACAACAAGAGTGCAAGATGCGGGTTACTATATATCTCCTTAACTATATATTTTTCAAAGTTCCATTATAGACAGAATATTTTATCCTGTTAATTGTTTCTCAAAATGACCATAAAGTAGTTGAATAACTATTCATAAAATATTTCTTATGCCGTTATTCCTTTGGATGTCAGGTACTCGCGAACCTGTACTCACTGCACATGGACCCCGCCTACTGGCCTGATCCGGACCGGTTTGACCCCGGAAGGTTTCTGGACGGAAAGGGGAACGTCATCAGCAAACCAGATTCTTTTATGCCGTTCTCAGGCGGTAGGTATAGCAAAGTTAGCCTGGTACCCATTCCCAGGGGTCGGTATATGGGTGTTTTACTGGCTCTGTAACCATTCCTTGGCTAGGGCCTGACATGAGGGACTGTTTTAACGGCCCTGAAGCTATTTTTCTATCATGCAGCCGATCTTTTATGTGATCTATATCACCTTCTATTATAGTCATCGGAAGAGTTTTCAAACTATCCTCACACGGTTATGTGTGGGCCCTGGTGAAAAAAAAAACAGTTTGATGGATATATGATAATGAAATCTTTCTAAATAAAGTGGAAATATTTTCCAGGCCGGCGTGTGTGCCTTGGAGAGCAGCTCGCTAAGATGGAGCTGATTCTGTTCTTCAGCAGCCTCATGCAGAACTTCACCTTCAAGCTGCCAGAGGGCGCTTCCCCCGTGTCTACGGACGGAATACTCCGCATCTCGTTCACGCCCCATCCCCACAAGCTCTGCGCCGTACCACGTTGAATTCTGACGGCAGAAATGTAATTATGATGTCAACGTATTTTGCTTAATCATTAAGCATACAGGGGAGTAGTGTCTATTGGCTAATGGATACTGTCTTGCATCTTAGGATCTACTTGGAGATTATTTTGCTTGCTGTAGAATGACTACTGAAATTAAGCTGCATATTTATCACAATAATTTTCTAAACAGTGTAGAATATGGCTACTCAAGAACAAGCTGTCTTGACTCTTGTTGATTTTATTTTCAATGGGTGGAGACATAAAAGCTAGCAGACTTTGTGAAAGTCAAGTTAAATAATAAAGTACCAGGTATGTGTTGGCTGCAACACATACACGAGAATGATAGTATTTTAAAATTGCACAATTATAGTACTTGTAATTCAAGTATTTTTAATGAAATGAAGCTTGACAAAACTAGGCCCCAGTGCGTCACACCTCACACAGTCTCATTCCATCCCTGAGAGCAACAACGTATTCACCCCAGAACAGCCAACAACTTTACAGGGCATGAAATAAAAGCATGGCCTTTCTTATTTATAAACAACATTGACTTATAACAAATTTAGACCTTCTAGTAGTTTTACCAAAAACTGAATTAACTTACAATATACCATGCCACCTCTCACTACTTACATGTAAACAACTCTAAACTACAACATTTTTCTCATGCCTTATAATTTCATATTGTTGGAATAGAAAAATAATTCATTAATTTTTTTTTAATAATAGTGGTAACAATATACTGACATGTTACAGCTTTATTTTAGATTAAGTTATGACTGTTTCTTGCTATCAGTCTGTCTTCTATTTGTTGCTTTCTGGTCTTGTTTACTCTTGTTGTCATTGTGTTGTTGAGATCGGGACAGCCACTGTTCCTGCACAAACATCACCAGGTCTCGTTCTGTCAGAAGGATTGTTGCCATGACAACTAAAAGGCAGACTGCTCCGATAGCGATGTGTAGGATGCGATAGGGCCAGCCCTGGTCGCAACACAGCATTGTCTAGGAGAGAAATGGATGATAAGGTATGAAAGAAATGTGGCAAGTGGACATATCTCTTGTTAAGGGTAACTTTTTATCAATGAGAAAGATAAGACCTCATGGCTCTGAAATATCTTTGTTTTTGTGAATTTCTTGTTTTACTCATTATAATCGTATACTAGTAATTTCTCACTGATTTTCCCAATGACTCCAATAAGACAACATAATGTTAGGCATATGACGGCAACTTGAAGACAGGCAATGAGTGCCTTTTCTATAGGACCTTTCTGTGATTTTCAATGTCCTGTCCTGTCCTGTCAGTGTCCCCGACATGCCTAGTACAATGTACATGTACATGTATATGGAAATAGGTACAAGAGACACAACGAAAACAAAACCACAGTACATCAAGCTAAGTACCCACCTCTGAGGAGCTTGTGACAAACCATGATATCACCAGCACTGCTGACACCCATCCACTGGGCACCAGGCCTAGTAAAGGTCTCCACTGGCTACCCCGGTAGTAACCCAGCATGAAGTACAGACTGTGAACAAAAAATGTTATTACAATTTATGTGTGGACTTTGAATGTGTGATTGTATAAGGTGGTTTTATGGTTAGGATTGTTGACTCAGAATCTAAAAAGGCACTTTTCACCTACACGTATTTTGCAAGGACATAATGTCTAGCCAGGAATGTGACCTCTCAATCTTGTGTCTTCTAGCCTGGCCACTCAGCTACTCAATGCCACAAATGTAGCCAAACTCAATTAAAAATAGACCTTGACACACCTGTGCACAATCCTGGCCAGCATGTTCAGGCAGTTGGCAAAGATGAACCCCACGCTGCCCAGCCAGCGTGTCAGGTAGACAGCTGAGGTCAGGAACAGCACAGAGAACACCAGCATCTTCTTGTTGTACCTGCAAGGAACAGCAATGTGTTAGGAAAAACAGACTGAACAGCATTATGTTGTGAGAGGAACTAAGAATAAAGAACAGCACACAAGAAGACCAGCATCTTTTTGCTATACCTGTGAGAAATAGCTATAAGCAAGGAACAGCAAAACAATGTAAGGAATAGCACACTGAACAGCACTCTTACGAACTCCTAAACACATTATCATGCAATCTTAATTCTCTCCATCAAGGAGTGATATCTTCCCATACAAATGCATACACACATATAACACCTACCTGTCCACCTCTTCTTGACTCATGGCTGCAAACACAAAGCACTCGGTGGTCCCGTTGATAGCAATGAGCAGGACATAGACACAGTACCACCGGAGAAGAGAGGGGCCTGCAACATGGAAGAGTTCAACAGTCATGTACATTCTGTTTTACATATAGTTATCCAACTTCCAAAGAACCCCTACATATCAGTGTATAAACCTATGATCAAAAGCACTACAGACTTGTGTCTACTTGAACCAAAAAGTCTGGGGCATAAGTTAGATTCCTTTAGAAGGTCCTTTAGATACTAGTCAAGTCCTTCCATCAGTCCTTAAATTCCAGGCATGTACTTCAGACAATACCGGTAGTTAAGTCATTTAGATTCTAGAAAGGTCCTTTAAATTTCTTTAGAAGTTTATATTCCAGGAATGCATCTTAGACACAATATAATAGAAGGTCCTTTGATTTTTGGGAAGGTCCATGAAAGATTTCAATTCCCAGGAATGTTATTTAGATACACAGATGGTCCTTTAGATTCTTGGAAAGTTCTTTCTTGGATTCTTGACCTGATCCTGAGCTGAGCATCTCCCCTGCGTAGATGTCCAGGGCCAGGAAGGAGTAGGCGTAACCAAACACCAGGATGATCAGACCAATCAGAACCACCACCTTCAGCAGGCTCTGCAGTACCCTGGACACAAGAGCAAGAGATTCCTGGAAAACAAAACATATATTTGCTCACTACCCTGGACACAAGAGCTAAGAAATCTCAGAAAATAAGCATTTGGGTACTAATATACATGTGTAGTACAGTAAAGATCAAAGAGACAAAGCATATTCATCAGATAATCAATTCATCAATCATTGGGATTTCAATCAAACCTGATAAAAACACTAGAATCTGAAGCACTGATTGGCCCTTCCAACTTGTGCCTTCCTCCTGATTGTTTAACACAATCTTTGTACATGTACCTGACTGGTCCTTACTGTTCTTATTGCTGATTGGCCCACATAACCTAGTCACTCACCTTATCCTGGTCCCTGATTGGCTTGCCTCTCTTGAGTGACTGAGCAAAGAACAGGTACCCACTCTCCTCAATGGGCAGGAACAGAAATCTGGCGGCCAGGGAGCCCAGGTTATTTATAATGTCATAAACCCCTGAAAACCACAGAACACAGAATTAGTGATATTAGATGAAATAGAATATGATGGAAATAGGGTGAACTTGAGAGTAGGTTGAGTATGGTTGGGGAAGACAGACTGACAAGAATTCAAAAGGTCAAACACAGGAAATGGGGTGAGCAAGAACGTAATGAAAACCCAAAATACTAAAGTCTCAAATCCCTGATTTTTGATTGGTGATGTCATACCCTTTCTCTAGCAACTAGGAAGCCTACCTTGGTCTCCGAAACTCAGCACATCAAAAATGGTCATGACGTATCTTTCACCTGAAAAATAAAAAAGACTGTCTTAAATCTATAAGCTTATTTGAAACTTCTTTTTCATAAACTGAAATTGAAAAATGGTTGAAGCATCTCTGTATCAAAATCAACCCTATGCACCAGTCTGTTTTGCGAAGGACTTTGGATTTGGTATATTTCATGCCACCTTCAGTAAAAATGGAAAAGGAAATTTATTCCCACCTTCTGTCAGAAGCTGCTTCAAGATTCCCTGCTTAAAGAAACTCCAAGTCAGCTTGGCCAGTTCTGGGCTTGTCCATGGCTAAAAAGACATTTCCGTCAATTCCAGTCAAGATGCCTGCAAGCAGAATCACTGATTCTACCAGATTGGAGTCTCTACCCTGACACATACGTCTGTATTACTTTGCTGAACTATTTTTTTAAGTTTTAAAGTTTTCAAGATGGTCTTAGATGGTTTGTTATAGTCACCTTCTTTCCTGTAGGCCAGGTAGGGAAGAAGTCTTGTATTGTCTTTAACGGAAAGCTGTCGTCGGCCGAGGCAGTGCGGATGTAGTGGGTGAAGTATGCGTAGTACGCCAGGACCAGTGCTGCACTGCTCACTACCTGGAAGACAAGAAGGACATCGATAGAAACAAGGAATACGAGATTTCAGACTTTGGGGCTTAGTGACTTCCAAATTCACAGACCCACAGAAGGTGTTTGGAGTTTCCAAACAAAAACTGTCGCTGCAAAAATCCTCCAACTAAAACCAATGCAAACATTTTAGATTTGAATTAGATACATTTTAATCTGAAGAGACTTGAAGCCATACTATTAAACTATGATACTTACCTGTGCTATTGAGAAGGCTATCAGACCGAGATGTGGGAAATACACCACCAGGATCACAGTAGTCACACATCGTACTGCTATCCACAAACTGTCAATCACCACCTGGAAACAAGAAATCACATATTTCAGTCCAACATTTTCTGTTAGCCAGAGATTTCAAAGTTCAATCGTAGTTTGAAACCAACTCTACCTTCAACCTGACAAACAGTAGGGCCTGGGTCATCAGCCAAAGCTGGTCTGCAAACAGCTCGATGAATGCTGACGCGGCGAAGGCGAGCACGCCCAGACGGTAGTGCGGGATGACGTCTGGATCTGGCCGCTCCAGGAGGTACAACCAGACACTGCTGAACACTACAGTACAGACGAACCCCAGGGGAACACTGTGGGAAACAGAGAACAGGTTACCTGTATCTGTATAGCCGTGTAACCACCCTTCTGTATAACATACCAAATTTGCAGGCACACGGCATGACAGCAGCTGGCTATAATACACCGAACAACCTGTTACACCTAAACTGTCGGTGAATAATTTCAGCAATCACTGGATCTAAATCATACTGGAGCAAGGTGTTTACTATACTGTGTGACAACACTCTACATATGTGCACCATATCAGACTGACACCTACGTGCACCATATCAGGTTGACCGTCTGTCTCCAGTTGCGTTTGTCCCCTCCACTCAGACATGCCCGTCTGAAGGCCTCGTGAGCAACAAAAATGATGGTGGTGTAGAGAAGTGTTAACCTGGAACAAGGAGGAAAAGCAATCCTGTAAATTCACAATCACTCACATCAGAGGGTTTCTACAGTACAGGTCTGTGTCATTGTGTTATTTAATGAGAGACATTTTATCCAGCAGCCCAAAGCATTCCCAGTACCTAGCCTGGACATATGACTATAATTACCTAACGTTGACCACGCCCACCATCTCCTTGGTGATGTACCGTAAGAGGAAGGCATTCAGGAGGAAGGTCATCACTCGAAAGATAACCTGCAACAACCAAAGTAGTTTGCAGCATTTTTTTTATTTATTACTTGGATTTTGGGCAACTGCGTATTAAAAAAAAAAACGGCAAAGGGTAGAAGACATTTGAATGATATACACATACAATTGTGCATTATTATCTATTGAAGGTTTTTGAGGCAATACATCACTACCTTGTACCAAAATCCACACAGAAATCAAGCTATGTATGAACTAACAATGCATTATGCATGAATACAAGTCAAGATTATCTCACAAGTCTGTCTCACCAAGGACCTTGGTCCCACAAGTCAACCTCATACAAAGATGAAGACATGTAAAGTACATGTACTAACCTGAAAAAACATGTTGTACGATGCCTGTTTGGTGGCGCTCGCCAGAAGTTTGCTAGAAGCCATGATTTTTCTAGTACAAAGCCCGATGTGGAGTAGATCTTCTTCTGGCTTATACCTGAATGATGAAGGGAGTCCAAAGTACACAACTGAAGATATTTTAGCAGACGACTTTCACATCTTTCTCCTCAATTAACAGGACTCGTACAAAAAAAACTGCCGTTCAGCCTTCTTCTGAGTCTGAATCAACGATGTCTTACTTCAAAAACTCCCGGGAGTGAATAAATCTTCCCGTATTTAGAATATTTCAAAGGAAAAGACGAAAACGCGATTTTCACTTCAGGGCGCTGCCATGTTGTTTCATCACCAGCTGATTAGGTTGGTCAGAGTTCAACGGCCATGCGCAATGTGATGTTACAAAAATTTCGCGGCAAAAAAAATTTGTTGTGTTTGTTGTGGACTCGGAAGTTTTCGGCTGTGCAGATAGAAAAAGGAGATTTACTCGTCTGATTTCTGGTTAGAAGCATTAGTAGTGCTACTTGTGCCGTGTTGTTGGTTCAAAAGAAGAGGGAAAATGCCGAAAGCACGAGGAAAAACCGCACGTTCGCGCCAGCAAGATGAGGTGAGTACACTGAGTTTTTTTAAAAATTATGTGGGGAGGGGGGCGCTCCAGCTCCAGTGGTGGAAGTTAGAACAGTGTTGAACGTCCTTGGTTAGAATTAGTGAGATGAGAGTTTGCAGATAATGTATAGTTAACAGGAATGATGTGCATCTAGTGTGCATAAATATATTAAAAGACCCGTCATACATCTTTTACAATAACCAACATTTGGCTGGAAAAAAATTCACTAAAATTTTGTCCCCACAGGGGGTTATGAATAAATTAAAAATTTCTTGGGAAGGATGTCAGATCCCTCATAAGGTGGTCATGCCTTTTAATTGGCACACTATGAGCGGCTTTTGCCATGAGATGTACCAAGGAGGTTAAATACAAGGATGTACCTTGGCCCTACGTCTCTGACTTTGTGGTAAAAAGAAAGTGATTTCGAACCTTTTAAGCTCCATTATTTTTTATAAACTACTCTTCCACTGGTTGTGGCTCCTAACCTCTTTGTCCAAAGGCAGGGTTGTGAACACTACTTTTATAATAACCCCAGAACTTACCGTATGTTTATTGTTGCAGGACTCAGACATGGAGACAGACCCTCCGACCCAGGCCAGCCAGACCACCCTCACACAGGCACAACGTGCTGCCGAGTCCCTCAGCAGGCAGGAGATAGAGAGGAAGGTAAGGAGGGGGGGGGAGTTAGGGAGGGAGAGAAGGAAGAAGGGAAGGAGAGAGAGAGGGAAGGAGACCCCCGACCCAGGCCAGTCAGCCCACCCTCACACAGGCGCAACAAGAGAGAGGGAGGGAGGGTTTCTTGTAGTACTTAATCCTAAAAATGAAGTACATCTGTCAACTTTCTTTATTTCAGGTGAATGAAGTGGTGCAGTTTTTCCTCATCATGGAGCAGAAAAAGGCAGCTGTGAAAAGGGCAGGTGGGTTGTCATGTGTAGTTTTCGCTGGCATCCTTTGTCAAATCAAGTTCTTTATTCTTGATTAGTTTAGCAAGTTTACTTTGTGTGAGCATTCCAAAATTACCTTAGCTTACTTTTATTTTTACCTTTATTGATTTTCTGTCCATGAATAATTGTATAATTTTCCTTATCATTTATTGTATTGTATTGTCGCAGACTCAACAAAGAACCTTGTAAAAGTGTAACACTAATGGAGAACCTACTGTGTAATAAGACAAAGCTTCTAACATGTCTTTGTACGCAAATGACAACTTTTGCAGACATCACCAAGCACATCCTGAAGGAGCACAGCAAAGTCTTCCCTGTGGTGCTGGAGAAGGCCAAGAAGAAACTGAGGGAGGTGAGTAGTGAAATTAAAAATATAATGGTTTATTGCAAATGAACAACTGGCAGCCCACAGGCTGAATTGTGTGTTCTTACATACATTAATATGTAAGGAAATATAACTACAAGTTGCACAATGCTATTAAAATTCTCTAAAACTATGACCAACACATTCAATTGTTAACTTATTAGTCAATATCTATGGTAATAAAAACTTATGTAACTACAGGTATTTGGTGTGAGTGTTGAGGAGTTGGAAGGGAAGGACAAGCGGTACATCCTGGTGAACCTGGTCGACACCCCTGATGGACAGGACCACCTCAACATGTCAGTAGACTGGAAATCTCTTCTCAACTTGAATTTGTTATACTTCTGCAAGGGTGATAGTATGAAAAGTTCTAAGCTGCAAGTTTACCACAAAAAATATCTTTGTATCTGATTCTGACTGGTTAAGCAGTTCATTTTGGCAAAAAAATCTGTTTATAGTTTATTCAAACATTACTGGCCAAAGTCTGGTCAAATTTCTCTTAAGGAAGTATTGCAAAGTACAACACGTATATGTGATATGTTTGTAGTCCATTATAGAATGTACACGTATATCTGTTTTTCCAGGCTTGATGAGGGCCCGAAGTCTGGCCTGCTGCTGGTAGTTCTCAGCCTCATCTTCATGAAGGGGAATGTCATCCAGGACAGTGAGTATGCAGCTTTATTCATCGTTTTATTGAAATTATTCACCACATTTTGTAGAAGGATTGACATAACAGGTGACTCACCTCTTCAAGATGTCAACTTGGAAACCAGACTATATTATCAGGAGTGAAAAGTTATATATGTGAAAAGTTATGTATGAAATGTAGATTGTTTATTTTTGTTTTCTTTTCTTTGCTTGCTTTAATTTGATTGTTTTCCTCAGCTCTGTTGTGGCACACACTGAAGAGGCTGGGCATCCAGGAGAAGTAAGCTCTTTACCTTACACACACTTTCTACTGTATTGTGAAGCATGTTTTTACAGAAACTGGGACAATAAGCTGCAGTGAATATTTCATGATTTACAGTATACAGTACAGTCAAACCTGTACTAGCGGTCACCCCTGTATAGTGGTCACTTGGCCATAGCGGTCAGTTTTTGCCGGTCCCTTGAATTTTTCCCATTGACGTAAGCATTAAGAATTGTGTCTATAGCGGTCACCTGTTCAACGCGGTCAGCGGTCACCCCATTCCGGTCCCGCCGGCTATCAACACCTCCGATAGCGGTCGCGGCTGGCCGTAACCCGCTAAGCACATGTATGTGTAATTTGAGCTTCTTCCCCCCCCCCTCCAGCCAACCCCATGAAGTGTTAGGAGATGTGAAGAGTCTGCTGACAAAGGAGTTCACACGACAGCTGTGAGTTTGCTTCTACCGGTACTTCAAGTTGTCTTAAATGCTGTTGTACCAGTTAAGAATGTGTCTAAGATTGGTATCGAAAGCTGCATTATGTAAAATATGTAACATTAGTACAATACGAAATGTCAGTTTTCTGGTCAGACTTGACATAACTGGTTAAATCCTTTAGCGGGTTCAAACCGTTTATGTTTACCCTGGTGTGAATGCAAATTAACTGGCTACTTCTAAGGGTTTTTACCTCGTCTCAAAGTGGTTTTGGCAGAACTGGTTAAGTCGGGTTGTGCAATAAAGGTGTGATGACATGACTCTTGTGCAGGTATCTGGAGTATAAGAGGGTCCCCCAGTCAGACCCTCCGTCCTTCGAGTTCCGCTGGGGTCCGCGGGCGCACAAGGAGACCACCAAGAGGAGGGTGCTACAGTTTGTGTCAAAGGTGAGAGGTGAACCAGATGAAAGGTCAATCATTGAATGTCTTTTGTGTCAAAGATGAGAGGTTAGCCAGTTGAAAGGTCAAGTTTTGTCAGTAGCACCAAACCAGTATTTGTTCTGCATTACTAGTAAACTGCCTTTAGGTGTAACACACCAGTTACATTGCTGATGTAAATGTTTGCATTTATTGAATGGTACTAGTTTTGTTGGACGTAATATAAAAATGTTGTATTATGATTTCATAAGCACTTCATAAGCACTTACTGAAATTTTTATTCATATTACTGGCAATTGTACATGTCACTACTACATATAGATCAAATATTTTGAATTGAGAGAGAGTGATCAAACGTGTGTCGTGTCTTGTGTTTGCAGATGTACGGCAGTGAGAGTCTGGAGATCTGGACTTCTCAGTACCAGGACGTGCTGCGATCAGAGGGTGGGGAGGGGGGCGGGCAATGAGGCCAAACTGCAATATCTTCATCACATTGGGTAGCCTTTGCCAGGCTTCAGAAGTAGGCGGAAAGAGTAGAAATTGGCCAAATAGACAGATGATTCTGGTCCACTAAAGGGAGGAGCAAATTATACTTCTTTTACAAACTCCCCTGGCATGTTATCTGTGTACAAATGTATTTGGCCAATGTCAACTCTTTCAGCCGCTATAGGAGCCTGGTAGAGGCTACACATGAGGTGTCTAGGGCTTCAGGCTAACACTGGCCTGGATGCCAGCCTTATTAGCTTTATTACAATCTCTCATCATTTCCCTGGGAAAAAGGCCCACACATATTCTGTTTGGCATTTTATCATTTTGTTCAGCAGAGGCCTTGCCCAGCACGTGACAGTTGAATTGACTTTTTACGTGACGTCATCACCAAGCAGATAGACCATGTGCACGTGCAGTCTATTTGGTAGGAAAGGGGGACTGAGAGCGTGTTAAAGCTAAGATTTCTGGCATCAGGACAGGCTAACACAGATGTGAGAAAGATTACATTCCAAAGATCTGTTGCATTTTAAAGATATTGAAAGTAATATTTACAGGCCATCATTCTTGAACAGATTAAAACAACCTTGGCATAAAAGGTGGAAGATTTACAAAGTAGTATTTTGGAAGAGTGTTTTGTACACGAAATAGTCTTTAGTCTCCTGTTGTACATTATGTACAAAGTGTACAGAGTTTGACATTTAGTCAGTTTACAGGCCAGCATTATTGTACTACTAGTAGTACATGTCTTAAGTTTGATGCAATAATGCAGTCACAAAAATGAGCAACACACTTGGCTCTTATGTACATGTATTATAAACCTGGACTGCTTCAGATCTACATATTCTATACATGCACATTATGTTACACCAGTTTCAGATTAAGACTTTCTTTAATCTAGGCTGACTCTTTACAAGATGTTGTTTTCCTATACTTACGCACATTTGTTAACATTTTACCCTTACTCTTCACTTCTAGACAATGTTATTGTTGAAGATCTAACATTAGAAATTAGTAGTTTCCCATTCTTTCTTTTATGTACATGTATGGAGTTCACATTGTCAAAGCACTTTTGCACTTTTCTACATAGTATTTTTACTGTTTGTCAATCGTTCGACAAAACTAGTTCCAAGTTGGCCTTACTAACTTATTAAAAAGAATATTGAAATACATCAAAGTAACAGTCTACTTATTTTTAATGACTAAGATGTGTAATAATGAAATACAGATAAATATGCCTAGGAGCAATGGGCTCAATTTGAGTACATTGTAATGCGCCTACCCTTTGAGAGTACATTGTAATGCGCCTATGTGTTCAAAATTTTTTCATGTTTTTGTCTGGATGTTTGGTCAGAATTTTGCCTGTTGCAGCCAATATCTTCCTTTCAATACAAACAGTAACAGAAGTGGCAACTGTTGGCAATTCTGAGTCAAAGCCAACATTATAAATCTTACCTGTTATTTTCTGGTTATCTAGAGATACTGCCCTTGGTCACTCGTCGGTTGCTTGACAACTTTGATATAGGATGTCTAAATTTTCCGTAGTGCGGATACTGTCATGTGCCGCAGTACTGTTTTCTGGTTGCCGTCCGTACAAGCTATTTCTTGAAACAGAGGGGGTCATTTCACTTTGGTTCTCATTTACCGCACAGTAATATGGAGTTGGGTCACTCTGATTTAGGTTTGTGTCTTCATACACTGGATTTTCTGTTGCTATGCCGTACGGCATTTCTTCCTCATCGGACTCAATTTCATCGGTTTGACGGACATGCTGTCCAGATCCGGGCTGTAGCGGGTACAGACTTGTGGCCCCGGGACTGGAGCTGTCTTCATCTTCACCCACAGGTAGAGGGGGCGGTGCCACAGAGGCGTAGTGATGCTGTCCCTCAGTGTCAGCAGAGTGTCCGGGTGTATCATCGTTACTGTACTGGTGGATTTCTGCTTGTGTAGTAATAAGGGCCGTGTCCGTAGCAGCGGTTTGAGTCACGGCATGGAGACGAGATCGTGCCTCGTCTGTAACTGACGGAGTTTGGACCAGTTGGGAACGTCGTAGGGAGAAAGTGTTGGGATCGAGTTCTTCCTGTATTTGATACGCATTGGGTACGGCAGGAACAGAGATCACCATAGCCTGCACTCCCGCATGAAATGTTGCACTAGACGGGTTAGTGTGGTTTCGGTTAGTACTGGACTGTTTCCTACAACATAACACCGCAGTGGTGGGAATGAGTACCGTAAGGAAACTAGTAACGGTGATGACAGCGATCAACACAATGTTAGGTCCACGAGGATTTGTGGTTTCTGAAGTACTGTTGCCAGGAGCACAGAACTTTCGATCAATCGACCTTAAACGATACTCAGGTGAACAACAGGACTTATTCGTAAAAGTGGGACATTTGTCTAGTTTGTTTTCATCTGTTGTCTGGTGTTGCCGTTTCTCGTTGTTTTTCTTAACCACACACAAGACAATATCAAATTTCGCTTTTACGTCACCTTTTTCCGCTACAAAGGTGTATACGCCGGAGTCCTTTACTGGTGAGTTTTTCATCATGCTGACCTCAGCAGAATTGGTAAGCTCGATGCGTCCACTCGGGGTGCTCAAATAGTATGAGTTTGCGTAACGTAACATTATATCAAAGACTGAACCATCCTTGGTTATACCAGGTACAACGTCCTTTACTAATCCTGTTAGGATGTCTGTGTCTTCAAATACCTCCAAAATGTAGGGATGGATCCCGAAGGATTTAAATCGTTCTTTGACAAATATTATTTTGTTAACGAAAGATCGATTATTACGTGTGTTGATCATGTATATTATGGCCATAAACATACTAGTACTTGCATACTCCGTGCTGTTTGGTTCATCTGGACAACGCAAAGGGTTTCCTCGCAAATCGTAAGAAGTCTCCGGACGTACTGTTTTTATATCTCTCGGTATTTTACTGATGTTGTTTAATCTAAGCAGAACCAAAGAGAGATGCTTAGTGGGGACTAACTTGATGGCTCGCATCGGAAATACAGAAAGGCGGTTTCCTGAGAGTTCGAGGAAGTCCAGACTTACCAAACCGTGAAAAGCCTGTTCTGATATGTGAGAAATGTAGTTGTGTGAGAGGATGAGTTCGGACAACGTCGCGAGAGTAGAAAAAGTGAACTGACGAAGAGAAACGATCTCATTTCTGTCAACATCAAGGTAGACTAGCTCACGAAGTCCTTGAAACATTTGTGGTAATATGCGTTTCACCTTGTTGTTGTCGATAAAAAGGTATCGTATTGCAGGAGTTGTATTGAAAGAGGGGAGGTGGGTTATTTTGTTATTTGACAACCTTAGTGTGTGGGTGTCAGGCGCGATGGAGTCTATAGGGACGTGTGTTAAGTTCTGTCCTGTATAATCAGTGTTATAAGCAGTGATTTTTCCCAAACAAGTGGCTGACAAAGCAAAGATGATGGCGGTAGCCAGGTTTTCCATTTTGCGTCACGGTACAATAATGCGCTGTTAAAACTTCCTGTGGATACAAAGGAAATGATCCAACGAGCAATTACAACAGAAACCAGATACTTAACAAAATTAAAAGTCGTGATTTTGTTGTAAATAGCCTGAACAAGGCACAAAACAACCATGCTACATAAACTTTAGTAAGAAAAAATTCTCTCTAGGAGTAAGACTTCATCGCGGATCGTGCAAAAGTGAGTAATGTTGAAACTGACCTGATCGTGACGCTGGAAGGCCCAAAACCAGGCTAGGGGAAACCGTGACTCTGCGTCTCTGCGTGTGAGGGAGGCCGCGCAAGAAATGCTTTTTATGGAGTGTCAAGTGGTGCATTGCGGCGAAATAAACTTCTGTCATTGGTCCGATGCCATGAACTTCGCCTCAGGAAACAGCCTGCAAATTAGTCTGACATACAATTTACACATTTCCCATTCATTCCGACTATCATGGCATTGAGGCCACCGCCCGGATGAATACTATACAAGAGGAACTTTCTTTAAAAAACTATTGTATCTCTGACCTCTCTTGTCCCATCCCAGCATCTTCTTTAAGATTTATTCGCTCTATCGACGTAGTCACCACCACACTAACCCCGCGGGTCCAAAATCGGTAAAATTTAGCCAAACGGGGTAATAATTAGTCTGGGAAGTTTGGTCACTGTACAGTTCATTTGCAGCACCACCACCCTCCCGCGGACTGACACTCCTAGTCAGCTACTAGTACATGTATTTCCCTTTTTTGCCGAATCCTAAGATCCGTTAACCTCTTTCGCAGACTCCTGATGCGGCGGCGTTAATTTTTTTGGGGAGAGACGGTTTCCGCCGCATCAGAAGTCTGCGAAGGAGAATACCATCCGTTACCCCGTAGGAAGGCTTGGTGGAGACTAACTCTATCGCCTTATGTTCACATGGTAATATGTTCATAACTTCATGGTAAAAAAAACGTGTTTCGTTCCATATTAGGCCCCATATTACTAGTTCCATATGCTATGTTCTTGAATCCGAAGTCTTGAGGGTCCTTGAGAGAAACAATGAATAAAATTTAGCCGCACACTCTCCCAGAGGCAAGAAATCTGCACCCCGTGGATGATTTATGATGAGTATATCCTTCTTGGTACATTGTACCTCAAGGACATTGGTTCAAATTCCGGGGACATGTAAGATAACAGTGATGGGGCCGAGGAAGCACCCGAGGGTAAGGATTATTGTCTGGGAAAAGAACCGCACTATCTTATTACACCCACCGTCGCCTCCCCGAATTCTGCATGTAACGTTACATTCTTACGGCCCTGGTCACTAAACTCGGTATAGTTCAGTGCCCGAACATAACCAAGTTGTATAGAATGCAATCGAACCTCTATTAACTTCTGCACCGGAAAACAAGTTAAGAGTAGACGTGGTAATGATTCAGGTTCTATTCTTCAGGACACCATTTGTATGATACGGAACGAGCAATCTGTCTAATTTGATCAAAGTATGAATTCTCACACAAAAATAACATGAGAAATGTTGAAATTGAAAGTCACAGACAATAAACTGATTGCTAGCTATTCACATTCAATTTTGAGGGACACCAGCGATGATTTGATTTGATATATCATATATTACTAGAAAGGCCGACATTTGCTTGAGAGCAAATGCAGCGATGGCTTCACCACATCCCCCATACCGAAAATGGATCTATTCCACGATGGCCGCCAATAGTCTACACCCCCATGCAGCAATGGAACCTTCCAATGCCGGAAATAGCCAAAAAGCCCTATTTTACATAATTTTAAAGTGGTTTAATTGTCAAAATCGTGAATAACATTCTTTGGACATGTGACCAAGGTATCCCCATACCAAATTTCAGGTCATTCGGATTTAATATTAGGGCACAGGAGCCAAAAATGTACATTTTTGGTCCGAAAATAGCCAAAAAGCCTTATTTTCCCCAATTTTAAAGTGGTGTATGATGAAAGCTTGAATGAAGTTTTGTAGACATATGTCCAAGGTATCCCCATACCAAATTTCAGGTCATTTGGTTTTAGTACCAGGGCCCCAGATCTCAAAATGTACAAAAATGTATATTTTTTGCCTGAAAATGGCCAAAAAACCCAAATAAAACAATTTTTCAAAAAAATTAAAACAGTGCGTCGGGGTACTTGCCCACTCTACCTTCATGCCAAATTTCGTGTTATTTGGCCCAAAAACGGCAGAGATGGATCCATTTAAAGAAATGGCAGGGGGAGGAGGAGGAGAAGAAGAAACATGAGAGAACACAATATGTCTTCACCACTTTGTGGTGAAGCCATAATGAACGGTATTGTCCTAGAAAGGACATGGTATGATGCAATCAATAAAACAAATACTAGTATTGCGATGTAAACTTTTTATTTCCTTTTGTACACATTTATACAATTCTTCTAGCCTTTGCCAGGCTTCAGCGGCCTGAAAGTGTGGAAATTGGCCGAATAGACAGCACTGAAATTAGCCTCTCAAGTAATCTCCAAGCAGATTCTACGGTGGCAAGGCAGTATCCATTGGCAGAGGAGTGTCCACTAGCCACCGGGTGGCCAATGGATACTGCCTGATCAATTTGATACTGTCTTTGGTGACCACTGAAAAATCTGCTTGGAGATTACTCCCAAGTTGCTACCGTTAATTTCTCTGCCGTGAAAGCACGCCACCTAGCGGATTCTTCACTCGTCGCCGGAAGAGAACTTGTGAATGGCTTCGTAGTTGGAGCCATAGGGGAGCAAATGACCTTTCCGGTGGAATCTATGGTGAAACCATAGAAAACAAGCACTTTCAAGCACATTTAACTACCTTTATTTCAAATCCCTCAAGTCTTTACCTCCTCTGCATATTATGCCTGGCATTTTATCATTTTGTTCAGCAGGGGCCTTGCCCAGCACGTGACAGTTGAATTGACTCTTTACGTGACGTCATCGCAAAGCAGACAGACCATGCGCACGCCCAGTCTTTTTGGCAGGAAGGCGACAGAGGGTATGTTAAAGCTAAAAATTCTGGCATCAGGACAGGCTAATACAGAGATGTGAGAAGGATTACATTCCAGTGATCTGTTGCATTTTAAAAATGTGGAAAATAATACATGTACTTACAAGCCATCACATTCTTGAGCAGATTAAAACTACCTTGGCACAAAAAGTGGCAGGTTTACAAAGTAGTATTTTGGAAGAGTGTTTACTGTTTTGTACAAGAAATTTCATCTCCTATTGTCCATTATGTTCAAAGTGTCTTAGGTTTGATGCAATAATGCAGTCACAAAAATGAGCTATACATTTGACTCTTTTGTTCTACCATACATGTATTATAAACCAGGACTGCTTCAGATCTACACATTCTATATATACCCATTATGTTACTCCAGTTTCAGATCAAGACTTTCTTTAATCTAGGCTGAATTTTTACAAGATGTTTTTTTCCTATACTAACCCACATTTGTAGACATTTTATCCTTACTCTTACTATTGTTGAAGATCTAATATTAGAAATAGATTATTAGTTTCCCATTCTTTCTTTTACGTATGGAGTTCACATTGTCAAAGTACTGCTTTTGCACTTTTCTACATTGTATGTTTGCTGTTTGTCAAATCATTTGACAGAACTAGTTCCAAGTTGGCCTTATTAACTTATTAAAACAGACATTGAAATTAAATACATCAAAGTAAGTCTACTTTTATTTAACAACTAAGATGTGTAATAACGAAATACAGATAATTGAAATGGCTAAGAGCATTGGGCTCAATTTGAGTATACCCTTTAGAAGCACATCGTAATGTGCCTGTGTGTGCAGAACTTTTAATTGGTTGTTGGATGTTTAGTCAACATTGCATCAGAATTTGCATGTTGCAGTCAATGTATTCCTTTTAATACATGTAATAACAGAAGTGACAGCTATTGGCAATGCTGAGCCAAAATCAACACTGTCTGAACGAGTTGAGTGACTTCATTCCTCTCATCTTTACCCAGTTATTTTCTGGTTATCTAGAAATACTGGCATTGGTCACTCGTCCGTTGCTTGACAACTTTCATACAGGATGTCCAAATCCTCCATAGTACGGGCACTGTCATGTGCCGCGGTCATGTTTTCGGGTTGCTGTCCGTACAAGCTATTTCTTGAAAGAGAACAGGTCGTTTCGACTTGGTTCTCATTTACCGCACAGTAACATGGAGTAGGGTTACTCAGATTTAGGTCTGTGTTTTCGGGTTGCTGTCCGTACAAGCTACTTCTTGAAACAGAAGGGGTACTTTCGCTTTGGTTCACATTTACCGCACAGTAATACGGAGTTGGGTGACTCTGATTTAGGTTTGTGTCGTCATACACTGGATTTTCTGTTGCCATTCCGTAGGGCCTTTCTTCCTCATCGGACTCAGTTTCATCCATGTGACAGACAGGTTGTCCAGCTCCGGGTTGTAGCGGGTCCGGTCCTGTAGCTCCAGGACCGTAGCCGTCACACACAGGTAGAGGGGGCGGTGCCGCAGAGGCGTAGTGATCCTGTCCCTCCTCAGTGTCTCCAGAATGCCCGAGTGTATCATCGTTACTGTATTGATGGATTTCTGCTTGTGTAGTAAGAAGGGTCGTGTCCGCAGCAGCGGTTTGAGTCGCGGCATGGAGACGAGATCGTGCCTCATCTGTAACTGACGGAGTTTGGACCAGTTGGGAACGTCGTAGGGAGAAAGTGTTGGGATCGAGTTCTTCCTGTATTTGATATGCATTGGGTGCGGCAGGAACAGAGATAACCATAGCTTGTACTCCCGCTTGAAATGTTGCACTTGAAGTGGTAGTGTTATTTCGGTTAGCACCGGACCGTTTTCTACAACACAACACCACGGTGGGAATGAGTACCGCAAGGAAACAACTAATGGTGACGGCAGCGATTAACAAAATGTTAGGTCTCCTGCTTTCTGTAGTAATGTTGCCAGGAGCACAGAACTTCTGACCAACTGGCCTTAAACGATACCCAGGTAAACAACAGGACTTGTTCGTAAAATTGGGACAGTTGTCTGGTTTGTTTTTATCTGTTGTTATCTGGTGTTGCCGTTTCTCACTGTTTTTCTTAACTACGCATAAAACAATATCAAATTTTGCTTTTAGGTCACCTTTTTCCGCTACAAAGGTGTATACGCCGGAGTCCTTTACTGGTAAATTTTTCATCATGCTGACCTCAGCAGAATTGGGAAGTTCGATGCGTCCACTCGGGGTGCTCAGGTAGTACGAGTTTGCGGAACGTAACTTTATATCAAAGACTGAACCAGCCTTGTTTATACCAGGTACAACGTCTTGTGCTAATTCTGTTAGGATGTTTGTGTCTTCAAATACCTTGAAGATGGAGGGATGGATGCCAAAAGATTTAAATCGTTCTTTGACAAATATTATTTTGTGAACGAAAGATCGATTATTTCGTGTGTCGATCATGTAAAAATAGGCCACAAACGTTCTTACATACTCTGTGTTGTTAGATGTGTTGTTTGATTCATCTGGACAACGCAAAGGGTTTCCTCGCAAATCGTAAGAAGTCTCTGGACGCACTGCTTTTATGTCTCTCGGTATTTTACTGATGTTGTTTAATCTAAGCAGAACCAAAGAGAGATGTTTAGTGGGGACTAACTTGATGGCCCGCATCGGAAACACAGAAAGGCGGTTTCCTGAGAGTTCGAGGAAGTCCAGACTTACCAAACCGTAAAAAGCACGTTCTGATATGTGAGAAATGTAGTTATGTGAGAGAATGAGTTCGGACAACGTTGTGAGTGAAGAAAAAGCGAACTGACGAAGAGAAACGATCTCATTTCTGTCAACATCAAGGTAGACTAGCTCACAAAGTCCTTGGAACGTTTGTGGTAATATGTTGTTCATCTTGTTGATGTCGATAAAAAGATATCGTATTGCAGGAGTTGTATTGAAAGAGGGGAGGTGGGTTATTTTGTTATTTGACAACCTTAGTGTGTGGGTGTCAGGCGCGATGGAGTCTATAGGGACGTGTGCTAAGTTTTGTCCTGTATAATCTGTGGTTTTTCCCAAACTAGTGGCAAAGAAAGCAAAGATAATGACGGTAGTCAAGTTTTCCATTTTGCGTCACGGTACAATAATGCGCAGTTAAAACTTCCTGTGGACACAACGGAAAGGAACAAACGACCAGTTACATCTGAAACCACTGAAAGAAATGTTCTCGATTGCAAAAAACAACAACAAGAGGAAAATTTTCTTTGCTGCTATGTGTCACACCTTGAGGTGCAACCAGAAATGCATACAATGGGAACTACATAAATGCATTTTATTCTGTTCGATTCATATTGAGGCACTGTTATGCTGCTAAAAGCAGCTCAGAGGTCGTCACAAATTGCCTATCTCGACACAAGCTAGTCTATATGACAACACTGGTCTGTTCCTTAAACACCAGAACTATTACATGCCCTACTCTGCCTCTTTATGGAAAATGAAAAAGTCAAACTAAAAAAAACACCTTAAAAACAATAAAAGCAAACATGATACTCAAGATATATGTTTTGGTGCATACTTTCGTATACTTGCAGCATTGCTTCACTTTAAATATCCGGAGCTGGGAAGTGGAAATAATCTATAAAAGTGCCGTTGTATAGTTCCAGATATTAGCACAAAAAAGCACACTTGCTTGTGCTGCAGGTTTCTAGTCACTGTTTCTATAATTCAAAGTCGTGGGTTTTGAAAAAGAACAAGGTGCAAAACAGTCATGCTACATGACGTTTTGTAAAAAAATCTCTCGAGGACTTCATCGCGGATCGTGCAAAATTGAGTAACGCGGAAACTGACCTGATCGTGGAAACCGTGTCTCTGAGTCCTGAGTCTCTGCGTATGAGAGAGGCCGCGCAAGAACCTGTTGTTTATCGAGTGTCATGTGGTGCATTGCGGCATAAAACCTTCTGTCATTGGTCCGATGCGCTGCTACGAACCTCGCCATTCACACGTAATTTAGGAAACAGTCAGCAATTTACACATTTCCCATTCCGACTACTAGTATTCAGCACCTGCAGATGATGAATACTATAAGAGGCACTTTTTCTATTATATTAAAACAGTGGCATCTCTGCCCTCTCCTGCCCCTTCCCAGTATCTTCTTTGAGATTTATTCGCTCTATCATCGTAGTCTCCATCAGCCATCAGACTAACACCGCGGGTTCAAAACCAGTAAAATTTAGCCAAACAGGTGTAATAATTTATAGTCTGGGAAGTTTGGTCACTGTACAGTTCATTTGCCCCCACCCCCTCACTTACACTCCTGACCAACTATTTCCCTTTTTTGCCGAATCCTACGATCCGTTAGCCCCCTTCACAGACTTCTGATGCGGCGGCGTTAATTTTTTTCGGGGAGCGACTTTGCTGGGGAAAAACGGTTTCCCGCATCAGAAGTCTGCGAAGGAGGCTGCGAACCGTAACCCCGTAGGAAGGCTTGGTGGAGACTAGTTCTATCGTCTTATGTTCACATGTTCATAACTTCATGGTAAAAAAAAGTGTCTGGTTCCATATGCTATGTTCTTAAATCCGAAAGTCTTGAGGGTCCTTGAGGAGAGAAACAATGAATAAAATCTAACCGCAGCAGTCTCCCAGAGGCAAGGAATCTGAACCTTGTGGATAATTTATGATGTGTACATCCTTCTTGGTACCCCAAGGACATTGGTTCAAATTCCGGGGACAGTGATGAGGCCGAGGAAGCACCCGAGGGTACGGATTATTGTCTGGGAAAACCACTGCCTCTATCTTACTTACCACATAACACCCACCGGCCGCCTACCCGAAAACTCGGTATAGTTCAGTGCCCGAACATAACCAGGAACTGGTAATATTGTCAGAAGTTTAGTGTAAACCAATAAAAAAATCAACTAATAGGTACGAATACACATCTAAGTCAACTAATTCACAAAACTCACAAGTTTGACATCGACTCTAGTTTATTATAAATAACTCTACATATAGAAAACAGACACAAGCCAAGTTTGTAAAAATAGAAGTTTTACACCATGGAGCCTTAAAAGTACTAAGGAGGGTATTACGTATAGGGTATTGCATACAATGGTAACGGAAGTGGCATGTACATATTGGTGATTACAGATTTCTACTTGAAATCCAACATATTGCATTGAACGACTTAAGTGACTCCACTATCATTTCATCTAGTTCTTATTTAGGATTAAGGGCGAGGTTTAAGACTGGTGAGGTAAATATGATTATCTTTTTTTTCATGTCTTTATTTCAGACTAAATTAATGATCTCTAGTGATCCAACTTATACAATAGAGTTTTTAAAAAGTAAAACTTGCATGAGGACACTTTCATTTTCGAATGTCAATGCTGAAAAACGGATTGTACAATATTTCATCATTCAGGTGTCATATCGAGCAGTTTTTTCTAGGGTCGGTCGGGAAACAGTAAACACAACATCTTTTTCCTAGGCCTTAGCCGCTACTTTGCAGACTTGTGCGGCGGCGGCGTTAGTTTTTTCGGGAAGTGACGCGAGTTTTGCCGCGGAGGGGGTTTTACCGGGCAGGGTGTTTTGCCACAGAGTACTAAATGTTAGAAACAGAGCGAATGGGCCGCATCCTTACATCGGCTTACAGATTACCTTGCCCCCCATCTGCGAGAAACGTTGACACGCGGCCTTGTAGAAGTTATGTATGGTGTGTCCTTCTTATAGAGAAAGGACGACAGTTTCATTCCAAACTAGAATTCCGAGATCTCATACCTCCATGAAATATGATCTTGATATGTAAATGTAAATTTCTTCTTTAATTGTTCAAATGACCTCTGCATTAACATGATATATGCATCGTGATGTATGTTAACTTTTGATTAACTTACAGATGTCCCAAGTATGACATTCTCATCATTCACCATTACGAAATCATAGAATTTTCACATTAATTATGCAAATTAGGTCATCATTTGCATAATTAGTATCTGTTGAAGTTCCGCCTGCCATAGGTTACATAGTATAATTGTAAAACACTGTAATTATAGAATTTCCTCATTAATTATGCAAATAAAGTCCTCATTTGCATAATTTACAATTAATTATGTACATCTCTCTCTCAGCTACCTACACACCAAAAATAATGAAAATATGTTGCTCCTGTCTGGACTTATTGGCTTTTAAACATTTCGCCAGAAAGTGCCCTGCAGTTCCAGAACAAGCCGCTAGGGGGCCCAAACTCATATGACTTCTTCCCAAGCACGAGAGCTACCTTCCATCAAAATTTCATGACCCTAGCATGTCCAGATCGCGAGATATCAAAACCGGAAGTTGCGCTGCAGTACCAAGGGAAGCCACTAGGGGGACCAAAATCTCATCATTTCCAGTTTTCGTCACACCCTACCAACACACCAAGTATGAAACCAATCCATCCAGGCGTTCTTGAGTTATCTTGTTGACCAACAGACAGACGGACGGACGGACAGATAAACGCAACTGAAAATATAACCTCCATGACACATTTCATGGAGGTAAATATCTCAAAGGAAATAAGGAAAAGGACAATTGTCTGTCCACGGAAACATCAGAAACACGTGAACCAAGGCCGTTTGGAAAGCCACACATAGGTGGCGCTTTTAGAGCAAACTATCAAGGCGTTGTGTCTAAAATCTATCCTTTCTTTGTCATCTAGTGGTTTTAACATCTTATAAAGGTCATTCTGTTCAATATGTGAATTATTCTGAATGAAACTGACATTTAGATATTCTATACGCCATTAAACGCTGATAGTTTTACCAGTTCTTGGTATATACCACGTTCAGTGACCATGACCGTTAGTATGTTTCATCATGAACTTGCACCACTCAGGGAGGGCGGGCCCGGAGGACAGTGCCAATGATTGTTTTTCCTGACAATAATCCTTCCCTCGGGTGCTTCCTCGGCCTCATCACTGTTGACGTGTCCTCGGAAATGACACTGAGATCCTTGTGGGAGGTTATATCAATTCTCTTACATACTAGTGAAAACATGGGTTTAAGGGGGTGTTAACTATTTTTTTTCACTAGTATAGGCTTCTAATTTTTCTATTAGCGATTTTAACACAGGTAAATGAACTTAACAAGTCTTTGGACGGAAAAAAATTTCTGAACTAAAATATGAGATAAAGAGCCAGAGTTGGATGTCTACGCAAGGTGCAGATTCCTGGCCGCTTGGAGAGTACAAGTATCCTGTATCTGTATAGCCCGGGTATAACTGCCCTTCGGTGTAACACACCAGCTTCGCAGGCACGCGGCGCGGTGGCAGCTGGCTATAGTACACCGAACGACTTGTCACACCTAACCCTTGAACATCTAACTCTAAACGTGTTGAACGCTATCTTAAGATATGTATCTGGTGACAGCGAATTCCACTCCCGATAGTTTTAGCATAGGAAAGAATGAGTTTTTGAACACCTCAATCCTTGGTTGATAACTCCGGTACTTGAAGGCATGACTATTTCTTGTTCTTTTCTGAGCTGGTGTTAGGTACTTAGTACATGTAGTTGGTACGTCCACCAGTTTATTAGTCATTTTGTACATCATGCATACTTTTGACATTTTCTTATTCTTTGTTTCGCCACAAAGTAACAGTGAACACAAGGAGGTTAACATCATAGAACGTAATCGAACCTCTGAATTTTTCCACTGGAAAACAAGGGCAGACGTGTTAACGATTCAGGTTCTGTTCTTCATGACACCATTTCATATACGGAACGACCAATCTGTCTAAGTTGATCAAGGTATTAATTCTCACACAAAAATAGAATGAGAAATGTTGAAATTGAAAGTCACAGACAATAAACTGATTGCTATTCACATTCAAGTTTGAGGAACACACGCAATGATTTGATTTGATGTAATATTTAACATTATTGTCCTAGAAAGGAGGGCATGGCATGATGCAATACACCAAAATGTCAACTTTTTTTCCCTTTTGTACACATTTATACAACTTTCCTAGCCTCTACCAGGCTTCAGCGGCTTGAAAGTGTAGAAATTGCCAGGGGAGTTGGTCCGCTAATTAAAGAGAGAGGTAAACTGTACTCCCACTCATCAACTCTCCTGGCATGTTATCTATTTGGCTAGATTTTACTCTTTCCAGGCGCTCCCGAAATCTGGTAGAGGCTACAACTTTGCGAATATTTCGTATTTTAGATAATAAATCTATTTCAGTCATTTTTATTAATCATTCTGTAAAATTATTTCCTGTCATGGCAGATCCATTTGTCGTCCATTATTGTTTCTCATTTGAGCAATTTTTTTTCTCAAAGGAATCATTAATACTTACTATTAGTAGTACGTGCTATCTATGTACGGTTACTGTCCAAGCAGAGGTTTGGCTTATTTTTGGCGTGTTTTTGTCAGGCTATTTTTTCCCTGTCCATGATACTGCCTTGTCAATTTGATTATGTCTTGCAGCCACCAGAAGATCTGCTTGAAGTCTACTATCCTCGTATCCCAATACGGGTGCTTTGGCCCGTGTGCTAAAAAAAGAATTTTAACCACAGACCTGCTCGGAGAAGCAAAAAGTTTCAATTTCAATTCTGTTCTCTCGTTCTGTCCTCCCTCCAATCGCCGCCCTTTCCCTGCGGTCTGTCAAGAATTTATTTTGCCAGGAGTTACACCGCGGATATTACGTTGCCAACGTTCCAAAATAAAATAGCACCGAAATTCGCCTCTCAGGTACTCTCTAAGCAGATTCTACGGTGGCAAGACAGTATCTATTGGCCATAGGAGTGTCCATTGGCCACCGGGTGGCCAATGGATACTGCCTGGCCAATTTGATACTGTCTTTGGCGTCCACTGAAAGATCTGCTTGGAGATTACTCCAAAGTTCGTAACGTTTCTCTGCCGTGAAAGCACGCCACCTAACGGATTCTTCACTTATCGCCGAGAGAGGACTATTGAATCACTTTGTAGCTACCTACTTGGTTAATGGCTGGGTGTTTATCAATGTTTTTTTTTCCACAGAAATATACATAATAGCAATGGTAAACAATCTATGGTGAGTGTTTCCTTGTATTGTAACAAATTTTACAACTATGGCATCTTAATTTTCTAACCTTACCAACACAGATAAGTTTTCAATCAAATTCATGTGAGGATTTTTTTATACACCTATCTTCAAAGGCTGATTATTTTCTGGACCAGTCATAAAATACAAACTGATGAGACAAGAAACTTCTGACAATCCTCATTTTAATAAAAGAAACCAACATTTTATAAACATCTGGACATTTTTAAAAGCTGCTACCTGACACAATGGCACAGGCAAGGAAACATAAATATGATATAAAAAGAAATTATTGGTCAGACAACATTTCTATATACACTTACCATGGTGGTCACAAGAAATAAAAAAAACACATCCAAGATATCTACATTTGTGGAGAAGCACACTGAGTCATCATTCACAGAGATATCACAGACAAATTTATATACATGGACCTAACATTAGCATGAATACATTGTTGTACCCAAATCTTCTGCCTACAAGTTAGCATTTGTATTCACTGCATACACAAGACTTCTTGGCTGAAACTGGGTCTAGGAATTGCCATTTGGTTTGTTGGATTTCTTAAGATACGTACCAAAGATGCTATAATTAAAGAAAAGGAATATCACAATTTGTCATGTTTAGGTTAATACAGTGTGAACATGTTGGCTGATATTTGTGGCTCATGTATACACTACTGGAATTGTAATAGCATTGATGGTAACATCAGCAGCCTCCTCCACAGGCTTTCTAGCAGGCAGCATTTGTTTGTAATATCTGTGGGGTTTTCTTTCCACCCAATACACCCCTCCCCTTGCTCTAGCCATGCCTGTAGAAACAAATGCTGCCCACTGGAAAGTCTGTGTGGGAGGCTAGTACATCAGTGGGTTTGTAATATGAAAGGGGAATCCAGACAGTGGCACACATTTCTACATTGTTACAGTTCTTGTACATGGCAGAACACACTAATATGTTGTCATTTTCCAAACATTCCAACTGTATTGTTGCTTTATCTGTTCCCAATTACAAATGTCATGTTTTTTGTCCATTCTTCCCCTGTTCAATGCCTCCATCCCCCCATGCCCCTGGGCCTCCCCAATGTCCATCCCCTATACCCCCTCCCCCCTAGCCACAGCCCTATGCCCCCCTCCCCCACTGTCCATGCCCCTATGCCCCCCCTCCCGCCCCTGTCTCCACATCTAGTCAGGACAGCAGCTGGTCCCAGTCTATCTGTGTGGTGAAGACTTCCCGCTGCAGCCACTTCTCATAACCCAGCTTAAATTCCTCAGGGAGGTCCACCTACAGAGCGGTACAGGTATCATGGCTTTAAATACAACTTCAGGGGTAGAAATTCATTCATCTAATCTGGTGCAAAAAAATTAGGTGCACCAAATATATTTTGGGTGCACGACAAAAAACGTAAGTAAAATACATGTATTAGCAATGCCAAATTACCAAAGATGTAATATGTGCAGCAACTGCTAGCCTGTGAAATCTCAACATAAATGTACAATCGATTTTCCACCATTGACATTTAAAATATAAGTGTCCTCATGCAAGTTTTACTTTGTTAAACTGTATTGTACAAGTTGGATCACTAGAGATAGAGAAGTCTAAAAAAAAGAAAAAAAAAGATAATCCCTACCTACCAACCAACCCTAATTTTTTCACAACTGAAACAGGAACACAACATTTTTCTTCCTAGGCCTAATGTAATATACCAGTCGATTTTAAAAACTACAGTATAACCATACCTTCTGTCCAAGCACACTGAGCAGATTGTTGTCGACGTGCTGGAACTCTGCCTCGATGCCGCTGGGCTCCTCACCGTACCGGCGCTGGTTGAAGCGGTCCACGCTGGCGCGCAGGGCGCACTCCTCCGCCTGGAAGTCCCACGGACGGGCGTCCATGTCTGTCACAAAGGGAAAGGGTTCAGTCCGGGACTCTAATCAGCTTGAAATTTTTTCCATCAGCCCAGGTTTGGACCTGGGGGAGAGTGCTCACAATCTAGGGGGAAAATTTGGCAATTTCCCACATTTTGACTTTGAGATGCAAATCATGGGGTTGAGAGTGTTTGTTGGTGGTCCTATTAGTAGCAACAAGTTCCACTCTGCTATACTTCTAGGAAGTTTCTAACACCTTAATCCCTGGTTGATAACTCTGGTACTTGAAGACATGACCATTTCTTAAACCATTCACAGCATGGCGTATCACACAACTTCACATGCGTGGGACTAGCAGATGTATGAAAGGAGATTTCTTTTCTGAGCTGGTATTAGATACTCAGTAGTTAGTACGTCCACCAATGTACTAATCATTTTGTACAAGTCTATAATTCATACTCACCGTTTCCGTAAGCCCAGTCGTCGTTGAGCCTGTGCCTGACCTGCTGGTAGATGGCTGACATGGTCTTCATGTTGCTCTTCCTCCACTGCCTCCCCAGGTACTTAGTCTGCACCTTCAGCAGCTTCAGCACGTACAGCTGCAGCATGGCCTGTTTCACCTTCAGGGCTCGCTTCAGGATGGGCGCTGATTTAAACACCACCAGCATCTGAACACACACACAGGGGGGAGGGGGGTGGTGGTATCAATAGACAAGTCTTAATGTAAGGTGGAGCTCCACTAGCACTCCATTACTGAAGTTTAGGCTTGTGGGATGTGGATTTAAACATCACCAACTTCTGCACACACACAAACACACACACGGGGGTGGGGGGCAAGTTCCACTCAAGACCTGATACTTGTAGAGCTACGCAAATCACAAAACTGAAGAAGAGTGGTGGATGTCACTTGGAACGTCCTGAAGTTATTCCTGTAATGTATCCAGTAGTACAGTTTAAATTTTCTGTGAGTATTTTTGAATTTAGTATTTAGTACAGGTCATTGACCTTTTTTGTTTGAGAAGAAGGAAAAATTAAGCGACAACAATATGCTTTTCTTTAACGAAGATAACCATAACCCTAATATGTGAGTAAAGAGAACCCACCATAGTCCTGGAGTGTTTCCACTTGGTGAGTTTGTTGAGGATCCTGAGAAGGTTGATACAGGAGAACAGGTTCCTCCAGCAGAACTGAATACTGTCTCCTGCTTCCTGTGGAGGGATGGACACACAAACATGGAAATCTCTTACTACACCAAGGAATTAGGCAAAATTTTTGTCCATAATGAGCAGCAACATTCCGTCAAAGGATGGAAGGATGGATGCTGACTAGAACACTGGCATGGACACTTAGTCACATCAGACAAAGTAAGAATCTTGGACACGGCAAGAGGTATAAAGAAAGAGGCCATTTACATCCAAACATTTTATCTATCCCTCAACATAATGGAAATTGTATTTAGGAACCTTCTAAAGCTAGTTACCAATTTTCAGTACATGTTTAGATCTCACACACTTCTCATGTGGTAAAAGAGTGCTCCTAAGTTAAAAGTTAGTCTGGAATACCATTAATATTTCAAGATTCACATTACGAGGAGTGCTGATTGTCTCACCAGACTTTCTGCGGTGAGTTCGGGCTGCTCGCCGATGACACAGTTGGGGAAGTCGATGACAGCGATGGTGTTCTTGGCGGCGATGTAGGACATGATGTTCTGGTTGAAGAACTTCAGCACCAGCGGGATGCAGTTGGCAAACACCAGGTGTTGGGACATGTACTCAAACTGGGGGAAAAGAAAACGTATTACATGTTACACACAGCAATATTGTAGCAGAGACACTTTGTGTAATATTGCAGCAGCTGTTGGGACATGTACTCAAACTGGGGGGGGAACAGAAAACAATTTAACACATTACACAAACAATCAGCAAGCATGTTTTGGGTGTGTATCTCTGTGTGTCAAAACTATTCCACTAATTCTGTGATAACCAAGATCTTTTAAAAATTCCCAATTGTTTTTAGCGGCAATTTCTAATACGGTACCAAAAATTGGACTTACCCAATTTTGACTATACAACTCCAGTCTTTACCAAAGTTTTTTGTTAGAAACTGCAGTTCAAACTTGCTTCATAATCATTATGATTTCTACCTAGTAATACTATACAGATGAACTTTCAAGATGAACTCATCACTTGTTAACATACTTTCATCTGGAGACCTACAAAGCGACAACAACCTGTTTGAAGATTGACATCCTCCTTGATAAGTTCTAATGTCTTCTACATGATAGAAACCTTTGATGATGCGTGTAAGAGCTAATCCCGTCTAATTGTCCCCCGCCCTTCTATAACGAAGGCGTGATGAGCCCGCGCTTTGATGTACTAATCCCCGGCCAGCGTTGGCCTTCTCCCTGCAATCCCGCCGAGACCGTGTTTGGGAAGGGAGCCGTGGAGATGAAGCCCTTATCGCCGTGGTTACCTAATGAGACCGCACAGGCTCACACCTGAGCGCAGTGAGGGGAGTGTTTGCCGGGAGATCAGGCTAAATGTCAGGATATTCCTTCAGACGTGAGCCTGCTACCTGCACTAATTTAGAGTCTTGGAGGTGTGCTCATCTTGTCTCTGTGCTGCACAGCTCACAGGTGAAAATATCACCTGGCTAAATGTACTGTAGGACATTCGTCTATAAGAACATGCTATGTACAAACATGTAACAAGTTTCCTACTCGTATGACATCAGAAAGAAAAAACAAAGTTGGGGCAAAAAAATTGCCTTCATTATAAACTTCCAGTTGTCAGGAAGGTTGAAAAATGACTGAATGCACAGGACACATAAATCATATATTTTTGTTCTTTCACACCTTCTTCTTTGACTTTGGAAGACCTTGCTTCAGGCTTGAAATTCATTTTCTTTAGCCTTCTTGTCATACAAATGGCAAAAAGTTATGATAGAAGAAAGGCATTCTACAACACCAGCAACATTCTTTCTCCTCACTCTGCAGCTTCTTTTTGTATTTGCAGTATGGTGGCAAACTTTTTTTTGTGGGAACTGGATGAAAACTGATGCATGTGCTGATGTCATCCATATAATCAAGTCCTTAATGTAGTTTTTCTTCCTTACTTGGTAGACATGGTGCAGTTTGAGCAGCATCAGAAGTACAGTACAGTTGTGTGATAAACTACAGTGTTTTTCATACTTGGTAGATGAGTTTGAAGTGTTATATTAGTAGAGGCAATACAGTACAGAACTACAGTGTTTTTTTCCTTACTTGGTAGACATGGTTGAGTTTGAAGTGTTTGAGCAGCAGCAGAAGTACAGTACAGTTGTGTGATAAGTACAGTGTAGATGTGGTTGACTTTGAAGTGTTATACTGTATTACCAGAGGCAATACAGTACAGAACTACTGTGTTTTTTTAATTATTCCTTACTTGGTAGACATGGTTGAGTTTGAAGTGTTTGAGTAGCAACAGCAGTACAGCTGAGATGGCCTTCACTATGATCTCCTTGTGTCTGTTCACATCTATACCCAGTTTCATGGACTGCAACACTGTGATCCTGAGGGGGGAGGGGTGAAAAAGAAATTTTGCATAAAAAAATAATCTGGGCCATATAATATGTATGTTGTTGAAATTATAGCACAGTTTGAAAGACATGTAATAAAGACAACTCTTTTCACAACAATTGATGCTATTTGTCACCTTGACTGGTTTAATCAAGATATTCCACACCTGTTAGGTGGACCAAGGGCATGTTTCCTGTCGAAAAGTGGTGAAGACATAACTTCCTACATCTAAAGACAGATGAACATATTTTCACTTGAAAATCTACTTTTAAATTGAATGGGACATGACAGATCCCTCAAAATCGTGAAACAATTGAGTGAAAACCAACTAAATAGCATGTAACCAAAAATGTCCTTTTAGAGCTTGGAAACTTGTTGTGCAAGCTATTTTCCTGCCATGTGTTGCCAGGCTATATACATTAGGTGGTCACTACAACAGGTTTGACCGTACATGTAGTTCAACTCATACATGTACAAACATGGTTAACCCAGTAAAGACTATTCACACACTTAACTCCACTAATGTGGGTACAGCGACTTACGGCATTTCCTCCGGTAGCACATCTGCCAAGATGTTTATGGAGTCTGTCTTGGCTTTAGACGTGGGGGCAGCTGCTAGGAGGATCTTCAACAGGGCGATCTGAGGAGAGGTGGGAGGAAAGTATCTCTCAACAGCCAGCAATAGGCAATGGTTCATTCAATACATCACCATCGTATTTAAGAATAAGAGAATTTTAGTGTAAATATGTAGGTATACTGTGTGTCTTAGAAAAGCAATGATTCTGGCTTGTTGAGAAATACATGTACATTGTATAATTCATAAGTTGTGGTTCCTACAATTATATCAGTATAATATACATTCGTAACAAGATACCCATTAGTTCCTGCAGCCTCCCAGCCAGATTCTAAGACCTTCATTTTCATGCCCTTTCCTGTCTTGTTTTTTTTTTCATCCAAGTCATGGGAAAATTAATGTGCCTGAATGTCATTCATAACATTTGTTTGCTCTGGCCTCACCATGTACTGTGGCAGACTGGGCAGCATCCCCTGGTACAGCACCTCTCGTGGTGTCATCACGATCTCACCTTCACCCTGAGCAACAAGGTCGAACTTCAGACCCAGGGGACAGAAGCACACAGGTCAGAAAAAAAACAGAAAAGTCTACTGGGGACCATCACCAACTCAAACTGAAGGTACTTGTAGGAGCATTGTCAGGGATTACATCATTTTCTCATGTGCAATCCACAACTTTTCGTTAGTGATAGATACTGTCGAAAAGTCGTGGATGCTAGATCTACTTGAAACGTCTGACAGTTTAGTTTAATCAAAATCCATCCAGTTGCTTGAGTAACTATTCCTTGTGTCTCTGGATGTCTGACCTTCCTTGATAATAATAATAAAACTTGCACAATTTTTCTTCTAGATGCACAAAATAAAGTTTCAGGTTAGCATATGGCATCAAAAAAAGGAGACCCTCACCTTTGTCATGGGGTTCTTGGCAATTTCTTCTTCTCTCCTGATTTGGACTTCAGCCAGTGACACGTAAACATGCTGAAAATACAACAGTTTGTAAATAACATGCAGATACAACCTAATCCACTTGTTTAATAAGACATTCTATAAAGGCATATTAGGGCATGTAACTTGGAAGCCATGATAAGATTATTGTCTTATAACCAGTCTTCTAACACTTAGAAGTTTTATACAAACCAATATATCATAGTTACAAAATGTAAATATTGAGACATATTCTATCTACCTTTTTCAAAACTTTAACTCCTTCATGTATAGGTTGTGGAAGTCCTATCAATGTGTCAGAATCTCTGTGCATAATGAAAATCAAAAAGAGTTAATCCATGTCAATTCTTACTATTAATGAGATCTATATCATGCTAATTGGACAAAATTGATGAATGGACCAAATTCAAGAACAAAGGAAAGTATAGAGGGTTAAAAAAAGTTTGAATCATACTTACATTCCGACTGAAAAACCTACAAATTTGTTTCTAGTGTGGTCCAGGAAGCATTCCAAATCTTTTTGTCTGGAACAGGAGAAAACAGTCTTGGAATTGCAGATATGTTTTAGATTCATAAACATTCATTCTCAGAAATACACAATCATCTTATACACACAATCAGCAAGCATGTTTTGGGTGTGTATCTCTGTGTGTCAAAACTATTCCACTAATTCTGTGATAACCAAGATCTTACACATCTTATAGAACCAATCATCTTATACATGTATGTTTTAAGCAAACCTAAGCTTGTTTAATCTCATTGATGTTGACACAATCCGTAGATTTCTTAAATGAGCAACTTGGGACCTTTCTGAAGAAAACAAATGTGTGCTAACTCTCATTTCTTCACATTTATTTACCAAATTTGCACTTACTGTACTAATCATGACATTTATGTCAATTAATTTTTGGCTGCAACTTAGACATGTTCATAATCCTATCAAGGAAGTGGATGTCACGGTGAAGGTTTTCATGTAAAATGGATTTTATCAATCGGAATCATGTAATTATAACAGTACAGTACATGATTTACATAATGTTCACTTTGAAACTAAGCAATGCTTTTACTGGTCGACTCAAAACGTTCAAAATGGGAACTTGTATGTACAAAAATGCAGAAAATTTTACCAAACCATTGAAAAGTTACATTGCTACATGTTACTACTAGATGTTCTTCCTCTTCATCATAACAAGAAATCAAAGATTTCAGCCTTTCTGATTTTTCGTGAATGTACATGTATTAGAACTGTGGAGGGGATTGTATGATGTAATTTAATCAGGTATTACACCACTTCCCGACTTCCTCCACACACTCCTTACTAACACATGATGGGTTTCCTTCAGACTTGACCTCCCTGTCAATCAACTGTCAAAATCACCTCAGATGCACGGCGAACTGACCTGACTTTTGGAGTCCAGGGAAGCCCCTTTGGTACATGGACTAGAGGTGGCGGAGGGGTTGAAGGTCGCATGGCACCCGGCATCCCCTCGTTATAATCATCTAAATCATCATCCTCGCCTTCCTTCCCATCATCCTCTCCTTCCTGCCCCTGCATGGAATCCTCCATGCTCGTCTGCCTCAGTATTAACTCCTGTAACCAGAAAAAAAAATTGGAAAAAAAAAAGAAAGTCAAGGCAAATCTATGCCAACCAACAATCCCGCCGGGAAAAATCAGCAATTAATCATACGATCAGGGTAATCCCCGCGTAATCCGGAGATAATGAAAATCCTAGTTCCGAAGTTTGTGGGGATCTGCTGCGCGCGATGAACATGCAGATGACAGAGAACATTTTTCATGTCACGGCGGGAAGTACATTAAGACCTCTGATCTCTTTTCTGCCATTTGCATACAGAAAATTAAACACAGGGATCGCATGATCAAACAGTAATCATACATCACAGAGTGTGCAGATTATGTATTAGATTTTCTAACAGTGTAAAGTTGTTGTGGAAGAAAGTTTCACTTCCATAATTTACTGGTGTGTGTTGAGGAGGCTTTTGTAGTGTATGTGGAAGGAGCTTTGTTGAAAATAAAGAAAAATAAACAAACTAGCAGATAAAAAATGCTGGCCTTTTCAATCTCGTCATTACCATCATAATTTTTCCACGTATTGATTGCTGTTGTTCCAATGCCGCATTCAAAACCATTGACGTAGGAAAGCCAGTATTTTTTTGACAATGAACCAGAAAAAGTGAGACGCAGTGAGATACATGTAGGTTGTGCAATCCTAGCTACATAATCAAAACACATTTCCACAACACAGAAAGAAGGGTGGGGGCTGCTTTCTGGATCAATTCCAAGTGTATTGAATTTTGTATCTTGATGTTCATAATAACATAATCTATAGGCAGCTTAAGAAATTAGAACACAGCACTACTGTTAAAATCAATTAAAAGTGTTCAGGTTTACCATGTTTTGTGAAGTATCGGCTATTACATTGATTTCAAGAACAAAACTTGGCATAGGGCTATGTTTCATGATAGTAAGTTTAAATTTGTATCTTTCTCCCAATTTAGGTTTTTGGTAAATGAGAAACAATTTTGTACTTGTACGAAAGTTCACAGGTAAATTTCAGTTCTTCTTGCACAAATTATCTACTATTTTACACAGTAGTGTGAAAAGTGTTTCAAGTTTTCTAAGTCGCTTTACTACACTGTCATCCAGCACTGTCAGGAGGTGTTAAATTTGTAGAAAACTGTTAAGTCTTCAGTAATTAACACTAACACGACCGAACGCCCTACCACCTGTCCATACTCTTTAACTGGATTTGACGATCACAAAAATGGCAAGATCTTTCAGCAACATCTCCTCTTTAAAACGAGGAAATTTCAGTTTCCTGCGCATCAAAAATGAAAAGCCTAAAATTGCTAGAGAGTATTAAACGGAAGCTCTAAAAGATAATGATTATCCATGTAAGAACTTCCTGACAGAAAGAGATGCACTTCCATCTATCTTAAATGTCATTAACGTTCATTATCATCATTTCAAAGACTCTCTGCCGCTAAAGATAGAAAGAACAAATTGTCTTCAACGAAACGTTACAAAGAGAAAATCTTCATTTCCGGCTTCTCCAAATCTAACTAAGGTGCAATTAAGGAAATTTTATGTTATATAATAAGTCTTTCTTTCACCTATGACTGATTATGTATCATTACACACTTCTCTCGACATTCAGGTAATTGAAGTAATTGTCGTTTAAGTGGATCATAAATGGGACAAACCATTCTTAACGAGCGCTAACAAGCAGTACAAGGAGCAAATTAACACAAACCCCTGTCATTTCTGGCACTAACTTGCTAGATTGAATCAAAATCATGAATACGCTTATGGTAAAGTCTTCCCTGAAAGCTAACAAAAACATGAAAAAGAGAAAAAAGAGAAAAATGATGAAAAACAATATTACAACATGTAAATACTCTAGTTTAAAAGCCGTCTCTAAATTCTAACTTAGGTTTAAGTTTAGGTTTACTTTAGGTTGGGTTTGACTTCTTTTTCTGAAAGTGAAAGGCGAATCATACAAACACAACCATGAGAAGAAAATCATGCCTATCTCGTTCTATGCCTGAATGGGTTAGGGTAAGGATCAGGCATGGTTCTGGATATATGTAGACTATCCAGAGCTGTGCCTCAGCATGGTTCTGGACGAAGCACGGTTCTGGATACAACAAAAACGTTTTGTGAATTCAGGAATAGAAAGTAGGGATGCTACTATTATATCTAATCTCAAATCTCAAGTACAATTATAAATTACACAGAAGCCGAAGTCAGAATATCTTTCCTGTAAGTGGATGTTAATGGGATGAGCCCTTGATACCCATTCTTAACAACCAAGTTCAAGGAACAAATTAACACAAACCCCAGATTTTTGGCACTTACTTGCTAGATTGAACCAGAGCCATAAAATAATTATCCTTGAAGTAAAAGTTCTTTCACAATCTAGAATTGTATACAATGATGCCAACAGCTCTGACATTAAGTTAATATATCTGAGTTAAGTAATCCCCAATCTACTAAACCATGAGAATCCTTTAATCCTGGATAATCCTGTTAAGTTTTCATTGTCACATTTGTTATTATCTTCCATTCTCTCATGTATAATTGTGTGTAATACTTGTATTAAGAAGATAATGTTATGAAAATACAAATATACAACATGTAGAAGCTGATACAAGACAGTATAACACAAGTGAGGCTCACAAAGAGTAAAGAAAAGTCATACACATGAAAAAAAAGAAACAAATTCAAAGCAGGAAAAAAAAAACACCAGAAAAAAAATTACTGTAAATTTTGAAAGGTTTGCAGTGGTGAAATCCAGACATTGTGAATATGTATTTCCAGTGTATTACCACTGTACAGATGTCACTCGAAACTTCCAGAGATAATCTCCGTTATTTATCCAGAAGTAGAGTTTTACTTGTCCTTGAACATTTCCTGTGTGCTTTCTCCCAACTGAAGGGATGTTTCCCAGTATTAAAACCAACCAGAACCAGAACATACTTTTCTCTGGGACATCCTGGGTCTCCTGGCCTGCTCCACGATCTCGGTAGCGGAGGTGGGAGGGGACGCGGCGCGCATGTTCTTGATGACGTTGAGACTGTCGTCCGGCACGTGGGGCAAACCCGCCACTTCCCGCGCCTTGTTCTTCCAGTCCTGCAGCTCACGAAAACCTCCCAGAGACGTCTGGGCGGAGAGAAGGAGGATTTTAGACAATACCAGATTATGTCTAGAAGAAGTACATTATATATATAAGAGAACCACATCTTGAAAATATGACTGTGTATTCAGAAAAATACCACTGATATACTGGTATATTTAAAAAGTACCAGAGCATACTTAGAAAAGTACCACACTATGAACAAGTACCACAGTGATGTACCATATTATATCTGAAGTACCAGTATATTTAGAAAAGCATAATACTACTATTACATTGAGAAAAGTACTTATAAAGCATAGTGCACACTGTGCAGTGATATATGAAAGAGTCAAGTAATTCTGTCTGACATGTTGCAAAATGCAGTATTTTCAAATTTGTGTTGCAGAGAAAATTTCTTTGAGATGTCTTTTTCTCAGAAATAATGCTCAGAATGTGTATAACTGTCACTTTGAATTTAGAAAATTATGTTCCAAACTTTAACAATGGTACCATGCGGTGTACTTTAGGGCATTAAATGGGCACATCACAAGTAATTTTCCAAGTAGGGTTCTAAAATGCTGTATTTTGGGGCTTTTCTACTAGAGGCTCTTGCAGGGGTCCCCAGATGATTTTTGTGCTTTTCTGCTCAGGGCTCTTACAGAGGTTCCCAGATAACTACTGTCCATAACATAACAGTGCTATTATATACTGCTATAACTGTGGTGTGGTCCTCTTGGACAGTTTAGGCTGTACACACCAGCTTCTATCCTCTTACATACATTTAACTAGATAACTGTACATGTATGTCAACTCAAACATCAAGAGTTTTCTACGAGTTCCTGTAACATCTTTGCGTTAAACGTCTCTCACCAAGACAACTTTCCAGAGTAGCAGCAAAACTTTCTTCATGGGGAAGTGAGGAGCATTTCCACTGCAGAATTTTGTCACCATCCCAAACAGTAGAACAGCCAGGTTCTCTTTACCATAGATGGCTTGGCCTATTGTGGAAAAATCAAAAGAGTTTAAAACTTCATATTCCTTGATATGCAATTAGAAAAACTATTTCCATGTCTTCTTCACAAACTGGCCTGTAGGAACAAGATAGATTACGATCATTTTCATTTTCTTTAGGGGTATCATAGAAAGGCTAGGTTATAGGGACAACATCTAATTTTCGCCACAATATGTGAGCTGCACTATATCTAAAAAAGGTAGAGCATCATACTTGACAATGTTTGGTTGGCATGTACAAACAAGACAAAACTAGTGCTGGTTTCTATGGTGTAGTAAGATTTCAAACTTTAATGGTGCCGTGGTGAAAATCCTAACACCAGGAGTACATACTGCAGTTTTAGATTGCTACTGGATGCATACATAGATTCACCAACATCTGGATGTAATCTCCATTTTTCCAATTCTGTTGTAGAGACTTTTAAATCTATCCATACTTGCTTCATTTCTGTACAGTGGAATCTTAATTTCTTTATAGCACTTAACAAATATACGCTTCATGAGATACATCTACAACATTTGACTTGAAAAGGTTGCCAGAAAATCCCTAATTTCTGACTCCATTCAGAGTTGGCCAGTGGGCGGATGTGTGAGTCTTTTATTCCTCCTTTATACCTCGTTTGGTTTCAGCTGGGGTCAGTAACTCCCGCCTCCAGAAATGGGGCTAATCTTGGCCGTTCAATCGGCCCCCTATAGTTTTTAATTTTCCGTGTGTGCCTGTGTCAGAGCTGCGGAGTGCCGGGAGCAATTATTGCCAGCCGGTTCAAAGGTGCCATTCGGGATGGTGGCAAATGAGTCCGTAGGAGCGACCTTTCACCCCTCCGCCCCTGCCCAGGCCTTTATTGCTCCTACCCTTGAATCTATCAGTTTGTTACAAGTTGATTGACGACCTTGGGGTTCAGAGATCAATGTAAGGTCCTCCCTTATAATAGGCAATTGCTCTGAGGTGTTGGGTGTTGAAGTCTGTGGCTGTAGGGCTGACGGCTTGCCCCTTTCCTCACTCCTCCACCCCCTGACCTCGCCCCTGTTTATTTACTATTCAGCAGGCATAAAGGTGAGCTGTTTGCCCAGGTGTGGACCCGGCTTGACGTCACTGGCTCCAACCAGATGTTCCCGCAAAAGTCTACAAGAATGCCGATTCCCGGCGAGCATGCGAAATTGCCCTAAAACCTTCCAATCGGAGAGCGCAAAGCGAGGGTAAAACGTGAGCGCGAGGGAAAGAAATGACGAGAACCGTCGATGAAGCCGGTTTCCATTGCTCCTCTTGAAATTGATTGATGGGGTATTGGTCAATTGATCCCCCATCTCTGCAGCTGGGTTATTGGTTTCTGTAGCCTCACCAGAGGACACCACCTTACACGTCCCAACAAAAGATCTGCATACCGCCCGTGTGTGAACAGTAATCCTCGACAAGTTGATCACGACTGTTACCACACAGTCCGCACGCGATGAGCAAGACCGATGGGTCCCCACATAATTACGTTAACCGTGGCCGCTACGGTAAACAAATTACTGCATTCCCTGGTCCACTGGTCTCTGTGGTGTGTTTTTTCTAATCCTAACCTTGAGTGCTGAGGTGTCATTTATTACGTGCCCCCCACCCCCCACCGAGGGGCCACCATGTGCGACATGTGGACAAGGTACAACAGGTTGCCCACCTGACCGCAGTAAATTTCCTCTGCTGATGCGCATTAATTACCACAATGTGACACAGTTACAAGGCACGGCTACAACATGACAAAGGCCCATCTTTTAAAAAGGAATATAGGTGATAGGAAGAGTCGCTACTTTTTACAAAAAATGTCACATTTTGTAGCTACTTTCTAGTGAAAAAGAAAGACACGTTTTGTAGCTACTTTTTGATGAAAATGACAAATTCTATAGCTACTAGTACTTTGTAGAGAAAATGACACATTTTAAAGCCCCTTTTTGGGTGAAAATGACACATTATGTAGCTATTTTCAATGAAAATAACACATTTTCTAGCTACATTTTCATGTCCAACTAAAGAGAGTGCAGGTGATCAAGGTTTTTACATTAAAAACAACTCTTCCTGCAATGTATAGACAAAACACAAGAACATCGTCCTCTGTTTTCACATTCCTATCATAGCTTCAACAGTCTGCCACCAGTATTTGATGGTTTACTGCTGTCCTTTCCAACTCACAGTATATCGTAGCTGCAATTGTGTAGGCAACAGGTTGTTATGTGTAATACAGACAGCTGCCACCGCAAAATTTTAAAGGATGATTTGTATATTGGTATATGTCTATATTCTAATGACAGTCATCTTCTTTCTTCCTTTGGACCTCTGTCATCCTTCAAGTACCTCAAGAAGCAGTGAGGTTGCAAATTTTTCTTTTCGGGAAATGGGTGAAAATTGATGTGTGCACAGATGTCATTCATATAATCAAGCCAGTGTGGCCTTAGGGTATCAAGTGACTGCTCCAAGTACATGACATGTCTATTATGTCTTATTTAATTTTAATGTTGTCACTTAACGTGTGGAAGTGACGTTTAATCAATAAATGTGCAATCAGAGATGGCAGGCAGTAGTAGCAGTGCTGAGGATGTATGGGGATGATAGGATTCTTGATGATGAGAATAGCAGAAATACAGATACATACATACATACATATATGTACATACACAGACAGACAGACACAGATAAACACATGCACGTACAAACACACACACACATACACAATGGAAGATAAGATTTTATGTTCATTGTGTTACAAGTTCAAGGTTACAAGGAAGAGGTCACCTTGAAAACCGTGGACAGTTATGGAAGTGTGGACTTTTGGAATTTTGACAGTTATGGGAGTGTGGACTAACCAAGTTCTCGTTGGAACATGTCCCTGAGATGTTGTTGTTCTTGAGTGTCTGCTTCACATCCGACCCTCATGGTCTCTACCATGGTGTACAGGATACTCAGGACAACTCTGTGGGAGAGAAACACATTCATACATTCATTATCTAACCACATATCAGCATCATCATACCCCTTTTTTATCTATTTTAGCTCTCACACAGTATTAAAAGCTAGCCTGGTTGCCATCCTCCGTAGTTTCCGCCAGCTCCCTAATGTTGCTGGCTACGGAGGATGCCACCCAGGCTAATGAGAAGCCGGGCTACCAAGACAAAACTCTGTAAAAGTTTTGTACTGAGGAAAGAATTAAGTTCACATTTGAACTTCTGTCTATCAATAATCGTAACTGTTGCCTCTGGAAGATTGTGCCTACCATTGCACTTGACAGGGATACACAGATTTTATTTGAAAAATTAAATGTATAAAATTTGTAACAGAAACAAGTAATAAAAGTAACAAATCAATTTCTGATGGACAAAAAGTCCTAACAATAGCAAATATTAAAATTATCTAATATTGCATTATCTATACAATTTTTAATATCACATTTGCTTTGCAAGTTTCCACATTGCTGCTTTGAAATGTTTTGAACATCAAAGGCCAACCTCTGATTCTGTCCATTTAAAGGAAATTAAGTTGCAAAAAGTGGCCAGCACCAGATGACCTCACCTTCACAACAAACCCTGGTGTATCCATTACATGACAAACTACACCACCCTTAACACCTTACAAGTGCGAATAACCAACAAAATTTCACAAGAATGCAGGCCCAATAGGTGTTCTGGACAGGCATTGTTGACAGTCAAACAAAAGACAACAATGCATGAGTTGTAGCGCTCAAGGTGAGGCTCCATCCTTTGTAATTAGTAACTAGATATATTGTTACATGTGTGCAATACCTGCGAGGCCACGGATTAGGACAGGCGGGCATTGTTACAGGTGAAACAAAGGCGTCTGCGGGGGAAAACGATACCTGAGGTCCGTGCTGTCCGCCAACGAGACCGCGGGCTTCCTTAGAGCGCTGGCCTGCGCGTTGCCGTTCCTAGAACAAAGGAGAGTCAAAGTTGAGGCCGATACTCAAGCGGCGGTGTGTTTGCGGTTGAACATATGGTCCTGAGCCGGCTCTAAGCCCTCTAGTCTTTTCTTAAAGCTCTCACCTCGAGAGGAACAAGACAGATCACTGCCAAGGGCAACAAAGCCCTGAGGTTTTGATCACGGCCAAACTAATTGGAAATTTGACACCCCCAAAAGGTCACCAGGATTCTTTTACACAGAGGGAAGAAAACACCTTTACAAATGGAAGGTGGTGTCTGGGGTATGTTTATACTCAAGCCAAAAAGAAATCGTAACCTGAAACATCTGATCTAGTCTCATGTTTCATTATAAAGTAAGGCCAATGACGTAATGTACATAAATCTACCACAAGAAGTTATATTAAAGCCTTTATGTAACAAAGGCAAGCCAATATGTGCAAATAGATCTCATGGCTTTATCCTTGATCTGTAGCGATGCCTTGGTATGGAAAACACCAATTACTTCTCTTGTATTTGGATTAAATTTGAAAGCTTTTAAAGTCTTCACTTCCATTTAAGATTAAGGCTTATGGAAGACCACAAACAAAAGTTTGTTTGAGAATAAAACCTTCACGGGCAGAAAAATAAAATCACAAATATGGCCCCAGGACAGACTTGTGTGGACTTCCTTGGAAAGGTTTTACAGAGCTTTCTGTATTACGCAACAAACCGTCCATATGTTTCTTTTCAACTGGCTACAGGGCTCTGTGGCATTTGCAAATAAATCAATAATGACTGTTGCTTTCTTAGAGCTTTGCTTAGCTGAAACAGCCTTGTAGAGTTTCAACCGCTTCGAAATCACGAACCTTCCAAAACCCAGAACCTGAACAAATGCTGAGGAAAAACGCTTTTGTACAGAATGTCTTAAAACTGGAATGATCATTTTATAGTTGGCGTATATGAGCTCATGTCAAGTTGTCTCTTATATTACTTGTTTATTGTTAATTGTCTGTGCATCTATATTCTGATATTTTGTACATGTATGTGTTACTTCATTCAGATTGTGTATCATCTAGTGTTGTATTAATGTTAAGGACCACATGAAGAACAGCAACTATGTACTACACTAACTGAGGATTAAAAAAAACTTGAACAGCTCCCAAACCACACTGACACATTCATTTCTATCATTTTGACTGTGATTTTGAGTTCAGTTTATTCTGTTGTTATATCTTGTATTATTTTAGCAGACTCCAGGAAAACTAGTGATTGCATTCACTAATGGAGATCTAAACTAGAGTCCCACGATCTCATACCTTCGCCAAATGATGTTAATCTTTATGACTGACAAAGCTGATTCCTCCTGATTATGCAAATAGCATCCTCATTTGCATAAATTATATCAGTTGATCATATTCTCCATCAAAAGACAGTTTTATCTTAATAAAGAAAGCCATTCTATCATTTCCTCATAAATTATGCAAATGAGGTCCTTATTTGAATAAGTTATGTTTAATGATGTTCAGCTTCACTTAACTTTTAAATACCCCAAGTATAAAGTTCCAGGCAGTAACCATTATGGAATTATAACATTTTCTCAATAATTATGCAAATTAAGTGTTAATTTACATAATCAATATCTGCCTGTGTTTCTCTCATTCTCAATTTCACATGTCACAAGCTTGAATAGTCCTATAATGTAATGCAGCTGATTTATAGAATTTCCTCATTAATTATGCAAATTACATCCAGATTTGCATAATTGTCACATAATTATGTCAAGCGTCACATAAGCTACCTACATACCAAAAATCATGAAGATCCGTCCACCGGTTCTTGAATTATCCTCTTTTGAATAATTTCAAAGAAATGTCCCTGTAGTTCCTGAGCAAGCCGCTAGGGGGCCCAAACTTGCGTCACTTCTTCCCGAGCACAAGGCCTACCTACCATTAAAATTTTGTCACCCCAGCTTGTCCAGATCACGAGATATCAAAACCGGAAGTTCAGCTGCAGTACCATTAGAAGCCGCTAGGGGGCCCAAAATCTAATCATTTCGAGGTCTCATCAAGACCTACCCACCTACCAAATATGAAGTCAATCCATTTAAGCCTTCTCAAGTTATCGTGTTTACAGACACACACACACACACACACACACACACATACACGAACGCCTCTGAAAACATAACCTTCTTGGCGAAGGTAATAAACCAAACTAAACCAAACCACACTGACTCTATCTCCATGCTGAGCAGCTCGACGCAGGCGGAGAAGACGCCGCAGTCGTACAGCACGAAGACGTTGTGCCGCGCCCACTTCAGCTGGTCCGCCTCCGTTTCGCACTCTCCGAACACACCTGCAGGGACACACACCCACACTAACTATCACTGATATGTGTAGTTCACTATAAACAAGTACCAGTATATCATCTTTTATTCCAGGCTTTCTATCAATGGTTCAAATAACAAATTCAAGTATGTATCACTGATATGCAGGGCTTGAAATCCTTTTTTCTGCAAACCTGAGCTAGTGCAGATGATAGGCCACACATTTACGACGATATACCTTGGCTACAAGGCTAATACAAGCCACTCTTACATCTGGAGGGACTAGAAGAAACAAATTGGCAGGCACACAAGAGGGCATCCAGGCTATCAACTGATAAAAACCCCTCAAGTTTTGTATGTGTTGTTTAATCATTCTGCCAATGTATTAAGATTGGAAAAAAATGAACAGCCAATCTATTGGAAGAAAGACTTTTTTGACTCGAATATTGTTGTGTTTTGAACAAGTTTGTTTAATTCTCCTGCAATGTGAACATCTAGAGTGGTATCTTTGAGTTTGCTATTTCAAACAATACATATTTGTAGTAGCAACACAACTGAAGACAGTTTCGGCTTTCAGGCAAAGGTCTGACTTGGTTCAAGTGTTTTCTTTCATTTTTTAAGACTTCAGTTTTCCACCTGTACAATGTATCACACACCGGGGGTGCCACAAGTGCAGCTGTTAACAGCATCAACTTGCGTTTGAGGGCCACAAATATAAACACTTGAGTACGTATACTACATACTCCCTCTGTTCTCTACAGTCAGACTTTTGCCCACCCAGAAATATAGTCTTTGCTGTCAGGCCTCAGTTAGGTTAAATTTAAGCTTTTAAAGATCATTTTCATGAGAAAAAGAGAAGTTACAGCTTACACATTGAACTTTTCATGAATCAGTATCAAATTTCAACTTTTTGAAGCATATCTCTTCAATATTACTTTGTGAGTTTGTCACAAAGAATTTTTTTGAAATGCCATGTTTCCTCTTTTGAAGTAACTGTAAGGCCACACGAATTAAGTTTATGGTTCTTCTTCCTTTTTTCCTGACTCCTTCAGATCTTTAATCAATTCCTAAATGCTCACATATCAGGACCAACAGTTCTTCCTTGTTGTTATAATGTTTTTCCACTTATCAATGCAGTGTTTGATTACATTTGTAAAATGTATAAGTTAAAATGTTGACTTTGTCACAGTAGCATTTCGGGGAATCACAGGATGCCATTTTTTTCATTTTCACCCGCCCACTTCATTGATTTACTGCAAAAATCTGAAAACCAACAAACCAAATAGGTGTGGCCTAACCATTTAAGTTACTTGTAAGGAGTTTGCAGTTTAAGGCAGTGTGGCTGGCAGCGAGTCTCCTGCAAATCCTGGCACAGAGCCGCGCCAAATCCTAGCAGAGTCGAGAACACACGCACTTGGATCCGCCAGGACTTACCCTGGGCCAGGTACAGCAGCGACCGCATGGACCGGATTCGCCGCTCGCGCCGGGTGTCCTCCGTACCGTTCAGAAGCCGGAGAACGTGCATCTTCTGCAGACCCGAGTCTATTACCGTCCATTTTTCTGGGACTGGAGCATGAAATAACCAATTAATCAAAATATACATACCACTACAAATTTATGGATTTCATATCTAGACTGTGGATAACATAAAAACTGTGTACTATATAAGCAATGTTGCAAAGATTTGGGGCATCACATTTCTGTTTCTTCCTTGTTTTACGGTTTAATGTATTTTCCAGCAACAGAGGATTTAATGTAACCTTCAAGTTTGTAATCTTTGTAATTGATTCAGAATTTTCCACTTGGTTGCAGCACAGTTGGATGGGAGATGATTTAATTAACAACACTGGCGAATCAAAGCTTTGGTACTTAAAAGGTACCACAGGTACAATCTGAGAAGTCCTGACTAATATCACATTATAATGGCAAAGAAAGGGGGGGACAAAAACTAGCACCCCCCTCCTAGCATGTCCCCCTGTATTACACAATTATAACAAACTGGAAAGAAGACGTAAGAAACAAAAATTCTAGTAAAGTAATCACAAAATATATTTAAAAAGACATATACCAGTACCTGCAATTCATATTTACACTATCTATAAGACTGAAAATATCATTTTGTAATAGCAAGTAATGTTTATTACCTTATAGAAATAATAAAATTCAAAATCATATACATTTGCAACAATAGGAAAATTTTGCCAATTTAGCAGTCCTTCCACTCTGTTAAGTATGCATTAGCATTCATAAGTATATGCATAGCTTACAGATTACATTGTTAGGAGTATATAATTATAAATTTCCATCCAGTTTATTCTCACCAGACAGGCCTCCCTAAGGTCTAGAAAACTCATGAATAATGCAAAACGGATCACATAACTCTATTCATCAAGTGTCATGTATTAAAATGATATTATCATGTTCATTTGAATGAAGGAGAAAAAAATCAATATGCTATATGGAGTTTAGGGGGGCCTCACTAGCTTCATTTTGATTATTCAATTTGGTAGAAATAGATTATGGAGGGGATATATCATTATATCAATACTGCAGTGGGGTGTGGAAGGATTAAAAACAGCCATAAAATTCAATACAAGAATTAATTAGTTCACGCTCTGGTGTAGCTTGGGGGCCAATGTCCCAGTCCCTCTGGGGTTAGTCTGCAGAAACCGGGAAGGTTTTCTTGCTTTGCATAAACCATAAAGTCAACAACGTTTTCTATAATAACAAGAACCACAAAACTGGCTATAGAGAAAAGCACAAATTTTAGAGAGATGTCATTACACAATGTGATGAAACTGATTCAGGTTTTAATTTAAGATTGTGAATTCAACAATTTTCTTGGATGAAAAATCTTCATATTTATCATCTTTATATTTGTCTGATCATTTGATATGCTTTACCATGCTCTTACTATGGATGAAATCATAATCATACTATGACAGCCGTACTATGATGAATATTATACTTTTCTGATTTCTTTTCAAATTTAGGCTAGCCACAGGCAAAAGTTTCTATAACGAGAGGTATGAAATATAATAATTTTCTAGCCTGAAAGAACTTTTCATTCATACTTCTTTGGACCATTTATGATATGCCATATGGCACCCCAATGTAAAGACTCTTTCTCTTACACAATATATACTTTTTTAAGGAAGATCATGCTCCCAAATTTGGGCTGGCTATAGCCTAAAGACAAGCTTTTAGACAAACAATTTATATAAAACCTAACGATATAGTTAAAAATTCTATTCAACTTCAAGTAGGCACCCAATTTGCTCTAAAAATACTAATACTCAAGATTGTACTCCAAAAGTTGGGCTGCCTATAGATACAGGTAAGTTTTTCTGTAACACAGTTCATAGAAAAACCTAATGATATACTAGTTAAAAATCCTATTCAATTTCAAGTAGGCACCAAATTTGCTTTCATAATCAACATCCCACTTCAAAATTTGGGCGTACAAAAGTCTTTCCGGAAAAACAAATTGCACCAAGCCTAATGATATAGTTAAAAGTCCAATTTAGTATAGAACTCACCAAATTTCAAGTACTCACCAAATTTGCTCTAATAATCACGATCGTTCTCCAAAATATGGGGTGGTTACAGACAAGTTTTCTATAAAACCTAATGATATAGTTAAAAATCCTACTCAGTTTCAAGTATGCACCCAATTTTCTCTAATAATCAAGATCATACTCCAAAATTTTGGCTGGCTATTGACAAGCTTTTCTATAACTTATAAGTATAGCACAATGTATAAAAAACAGGGATAACCTAATGATATAGATAAAAACCCTATTCAAGCAGGAACCCAATTTGCTAGCCAAGAGCCAGTCAAGTGCGAAATATGAAAAATGAACAAAAACTGCATGCTTTGTTAGAGAATTTATGGCGATGTGAGGTCAAAAAGGGCAGAGAATAAATCTCCCCCTTTTTCCAAGTCAAGAGTGACATTGAATTTTTTTCTCTGACGCTAATTTTGTTTTCACGAACTACACCATTCGTCATGGGCTAACCCATGGCACTTTCAAAACTGGATTTTTCAAATTCAATTTTCTGGTCATTCTTTTTATTCTTTTGAATTGATGCAGTGAGTTGATTCAACCCTACCCCATAGCATTATTACTGATATCTGTGAGGCAAAAATGTGATGTCGCTGATACAATTTGATTGCTTGTTTCATATTGTAGGCTGGTTTTAGATATTTATTGGTGGTACAAACAAATAAAGAGATGCCTCATGTAGCTTGTTTTGGGGCTAAATCAAACACTTCAAGTATGAAATGATGACAAAAATGTGCAAACAAATGACAGTAAATGTCAACACTAAACAGATTTCCTCATCTAGAATATTTTTTGTTTGCCACATTGAACGCCTTTAAAATGAAGAGTCCATATTTTGTATTAAGCTTAATTATGAGATCTTTGCAGTAAAAACTTACAATCCACTGAAGAGAACTAACTCCTTTAATGCTTGTACTTAGACGATGGTACAATGTATATGAACTCTTATACTTCCTAAGGTCATTTCATGGCTCAGTAGTCACAAAATTGGTTAGTAAAACACAAAGCAACATCAACCCGCACCAAATCTGTATTACCTCTTTGCTGATAATCCTCTTCAAAGTATTTTCTGTTTTGCGTGAACTCTGGTTCTTCTGTGTAACTGTAGAGCTCTGAAAAAAAAAAAAACATGCAGAGGTTATGTAACGATAATCATTTGTAATATTAGACAATTTTTCTAAAGACAGGAAATATAGTATGTAACAGGGAGTGTTCAGAATAAAAAGGCGGATGCCAGGGAAATGTCTTTACGTATTTGAACAGCACCAACGAAAAGTATAATTTACTGCTGCTGCATCTATATATGGTAGCAAGTTTGTCATTAACCTAAAGGTTCTGAGTTTGAATCCCTTGCAGGCCTGAATGGTGTGTCCTTGGGAAAATCGTATTTCCTCACTGGACTGAAAAAAATGAGTACAGTACCTAGTCCAGTTGTCTTAACGTTCATAGCATTGAACAATCCAGTTGGCTATCAATTCTGTATTAAGTTATGGGGTTAGGTGGTAAGAAGAAGGATAAACTATGAGTAAGACCTATAGTGCCTAGAACCTTGAAGTGTACATAGTAGCATAACTATCCATAGTTCTTAGAATTACAACAGAAATATACAGAAGAAATCTGTAGACAATAAACAAATTTCTCTGTGTAACATCATGGGAGTACATTATGGTACTGTGCCTAATAGTGACTGTCATTGTCAAGTATACCCAAACTTACACGACATTATAAATCATTTATGTAAGACTTTACTACGGATCCTACTCCAATCATTTCTAGTATGAATTTTTTACGACTTACCGGCATATGAAGAGTAGGATTTTATAGCAAAGCACGCTACCCCTAAAACCCCTTTAGGATTGACATAGATAGGTTCCCAACTTGACAATGATATATGTGAAAAGTGTGCAAATGAGTCTTTTATATCCTCATGATTGATCATACAACTTCTATGTTGCATTCGTAGATACATGTACATTTACATACTTAACTTTGCTTTTTGCTTGTTTGTTTGTTTATTTTCCATTTGCTTGCATAATCTATGCACGCTTGACGGCCATAAATTCAGCTAGAGGCACAAAACGATCAATAAAACAACAAAGTCAGCGAGAAATAATGACATTGTGAGTGAAAAACCCGCGTCCCTTGGTACACCTCCGAGAAATATTATACCCAGAGGAATTTTTTTCCTGTATGTGGGTGGGATAGGAAGGCCCTGTTCAGTATTACGGTTGGCTCGGGCTTATTGAAGTCGATACGTTGTTTTTCTACATTGTTTGAGTGTCATAAAACATCTGCCATTTCCACGAAGCAGACAAGGCATTTGCTCAAACCATAGCTACTTATTCGCATAAAGAACTACCTGATGTTGGGTGATTTATTGCAAAATTCTTTTGGGATTTGTAAAACTGACTTAAATTCAGTGAAAAGTACAACACAACAGTCCTTCTTTGGGAACCTTAATTTAGGTTTCCCTATTTTATTGGCAAAATGTCTTTACATTGTATGTCTATGGAAATATTTCCAAAGCTAGCTAAGAGTCTCAATTACATTTTTATTTTCCACACCAAGTCTTTTTATTTTTGAAGAGCAGATATTGTCATCTCTCAGTCAGTTGATTTTTTTTCAGGAAAGAGCTACTACTGTTAAACCTAAACCCACAATCATGCCTCTAAGTCGTGGGCTTGAAAAATGGCAGAATGGAACCAACCCAAAGTGTCAAAGATACAACATAACAAAATTATGTACCATATCTTTCCCATACAACCACATTTTCAACAGCTGTGTTATTTCAAGTCTAGTTTCTGACATTGCCTCAGTCAAAACTGATAAGAAAATTGAATAAAACGGCCAAACAGTGCCTCAAACCATTCGTTTGTGTTAAAGCGGCCCAGAACTCTAAAAGCATGCACTTACAACCATCAGGAGATGTGTCTTTTCTGGAAGAGTCAGCCTGGAATCCTTGACAAATGGTTTGGCGTGAATCTATTATTCATAGAAAGATATAGAGAGGGCACTACAGATGACAGCATTTTTTCGAATCACACATAAAAATCCTTGTTCCCCTTCAAGACACATCATTTAAATCATTCTAATGACACAATATAAAATGACAACTTAAGACATGAATTTAACTGTAGTATTGAAGGTACTACTTAGTAATTCTCAAGCCACAGTATATTGTCGCTTGCTTTCCTGTCAATTTTCGCTTTGAAAAATGGTTCAGGAACAGCTTAATCTGATTAAACCAAGGTTATCGTCTTGTTCAATCTCAGTGAACAGTCAACAACGCTTGTATTTTGTAAACTCTGTCCTCCAGTGTATCACAGTATCTCCTTGCTTGATCGGCAAATAAGGACATTTTCAGTTTGCCTGGAAAACCCGAACACCCGGTACGGACCATATGTGCAAGTATGTTTGGGTTCAAGGTTCAAACAAATTCTGTTGAGCCAAGACAGACAATTACAAATGGTTGAAGGGAATCCTGGGAGAGGTCAGAGGTCATGAGTGGCTGCTATGTCTGTGTTGTGCATCAGATCAAACAAAGGAAAACAAACAGGACGGGAAACAGGTTTATAAACATGTAAAGTCTACCATATAGAGAATTCTTTCGTGTATAATGCCTCTTACAATGCGTTGACATGCAAAAAATTGAGATAAATCATCGTTTGAAAACTTAAATTTTAATTAAAAACAAATGTAACATGCCACAATTAGAACTTGATTTTAAAATCTAAACAAGTAAAATCTGAGATTTTATACCTCCGGGCTTTTTATTGTATATTTTTCCATGTTGTTTGTTCTGTATAGTTGATGGTGTTGAATTTTATGTGTTAGATTTAGCGTTCCTGGTTGTGTTAATACAGGACTGGTCAACATTTTCATCTGCAGCCCATACCATGTACCCACGGTAAAAATGCATGTCGAGAACGTCTGAGACAGTATACCACGGTATTTGTAAGTTAAGAAGTCGTACTATACGCCGAAAACATCCAAGATTGCGCAAGAGGGCGTTGACCCCTGACCCATTGGCCCACCCGGAAGTTGCGCTGGCAGCCAGCCCAGCGCCGCGCGCGACGATTTTCAGATTTTTACGCCCCAAAACACATATACAATAAAAACAAAAAAACCTGCACCATCTACAGCCCATTAGAAGAACATACACCGAGTCCAGTCTACCCCAACGCGAGATACAACTGCGATAATATTTCAAAATACATATCGGAAGCAGACACCCCCCTGTTTGACCCCTTTTAAATGGTAAGACCCAAAACTGAAACCTCCCCATTCCTTAACAACATGGTAAATTCCATTTTCAGCATGGCGGGGGTGTCCGGAGCACTTAAAAACCTTTTATTTCGACGCCCATAAACACATATACAATTAAACAAAAACGTTCTGCATCATCTGCAGCCCAATAGCAATACGTACACCGAACAACAGACCAATCCGTCCAGCCGATCGCGAGAAACAGCTGCTGACAGAAATGTTTCGAACAATAGTAAAACCTCCTCGCGGAAGGATGTCTCCTTCCCCGGAGGTAATAATATATCCTGAAGTAGTTTTGTTTCAATGGTTAAAATAGTAAGTTGTCCTTACGCCAATTCAAGAAAAACTTCTATTTTCTTGATACTGATGTTGAGACTGCTAATGTTTAACCCCTTTTTAACTCATCAAGTTTCTTAGACATTTTTGTGTCTTCACCCTTACGAGATCTGTTAACATGGTATTGTGCTGCAAACATCACATACTTCCCATGCCCTTCCTAAGTTCCTTGAACCACAAAAATGTTACTCCTGTACATGAGAGTGACGTTCCTGTCATGCTTGTTTACACCAACCTTTCCACACCTTCGCAGTTGAGATAAACAAGTAAACAAACAAACAAATAAACAACCGACCTGCTATCTCCACCTGGTGTCTGTCGGCATCGTCATATTCAAACTCCAGGTCAGGCTGCTCCAAGTTACCCTGGAAAAAAATTTTGAAGTTGTCATTTTTAGAATTTCCTAGCAAATAGTATGCTAGATTTTCTAGCTACATATATGATTTGAATTTTATGATTTACGAAAAAAATTGCTCCAACTTTAATACCCTGAAAAAAATAGTAAAAAATAGTAAAGAAGTAATTTTTATTCTTAAACATGTATGATTTGTTACAGTCAAAGACTCAAATATTCCTGGTTGTAAGCATTATGGTTTGTAACAAAAATTGAGAAATGTCTACATAACTTTTTTTTTCAGTGTACAACCAACGAAAAATGGTGAAGCATGCTACTGTACTTCTAGCAGACAAAATTAAATTAGCCATTTTATCATGATGTGGCAGCTGCGAGGCATCTGATTGGTCTACAGCAATGATTAAACCATTAGATAGCCAATGAAAGAAACAATGGCTTGTATGATATAGAGCCTCTCTTCATATATAGATCTTTTGTTCTTCTGCAAAGTAATACATGTACACATAAATTTGCTTTCCACTGATATATACGCTATGTGAAATATACTGTATATTACACAAACAGAAACACTCAGATCTTGAATACTTGATATGATTATCAGATAGTACAAAATACAAAACTTAAGTTCTGAAAATAATTTCATCAGGTTGGTAGGGCATACAGTAGGGTACATTGGGATTTCCTAATGTACAACCTGCACTTGATAGAAAATGTACGCAAGGTAAGAGAAGTATCGGCTGTGTATAACTTATAAGAATATCCTGTATCCTATTCCTATAATACACTAGTATAAACCTTAGTCTTACATTCTGACTAAGTACTATATGTGATTTCCATCTAATTACTGTGCATACGAAATGTTTGTGTTGACAAAAATCGTAGGTCCAGGTAATGACATTCTTGGGTAAGTCATGGAGTTAAAAGACTCTTTTCTAGCTCCATGGGTAAGTTAGCATGTTATATGGACTCCTGACACAGAAGCATAAACATACTAAGGAAGTGGTCAGATGATTAACACTGGAACAACATATTCACCCCATGACCCAGCCTCCAAAATGATACCTCTTGGCCAATTAATGAGTCAGGCTCAGAGTATGCATGAATCATGTTGGCATATTAGTACATGGTCCCTGGCTTACACATAAACAACGCTTGTTTCCCAAATAAGTTTTATGTCTTTAACGGAAAGTCAGAGCCTATGTTCTCTCTGCTATTTTTCTGAATTTTTACAAGCAAATTCGGCAGTGAACCACCCTCCCAATATTTGAGAAATAAGTTGTCAATTTTTGTTGCCTACTCTTGTTGTATGTGATTTAATTTAAATGAAAAATTGCAAGTGTAAGAAAAGTGTTACTGTTTTTTTTCAGCCTCCAAACAATACAAGTTTTATCAGATATCAGGCTCAGAGTATGTATGAATCATGGTGGCATATTAGTACATGGTCCCTGGCTTACACATAAACAACGCTTGTTTCCCAAATAAGTTTTGCGTCTTTGATGGAAAGTCAGAGCCTATGTTCTCTCTGCTATATTTCTGGATTTTTACAAGCAAATTCGTCAGTGAGCCACTCTCCCAATATTTGGGAAATAAGTTATCATTTCCGTGGCCTACTCTTGTTGTATGTGATTTAATTTAAATGAAAAATTGCAAGTGTAAGAAAAGTGTTACTGTTTTTTTTTCAGCCTCCAAACAATTTTACAAGTTTTATCACATATTACAAAATTCAATGGTTGACATATTACCAAATCAAATACTTCCCAGAAAAATTGGTTTGAGTGTGAAATTCCATAAAACTTCACAAAAAAATGAAACATCAAAACACTACTTTTTCCAATGATTCTTGCACCCCAGTTCCTATCCTTATCTTATCCACAATCAAGTACAAACCATTGAATATGCATTGTGTTGTCACAAAGTCTCAACACTTGAGTTGTTTACCCTTCTACAGTTACTGTATATCACTACATGTATTTCTAAGATAGTAACTATTTGCACACTCTACTACACAGTTAGTTTTCACACAATAAAGTACCTCCAAAACACTGAATGTTTTCCATCACAACGGTTCATCAAAAATACTTTTGTTCCCTGGTACAGATATACAAAGAAATATGATTAACATATCAATGGTGGGAGATGATTGGGCCTTATCTGTTGCAGGAAATCTGATTTGTCCACCTGATCAGTTTGTGCAATCTAGTTGTCTAAAGCATCAGACAAGAGGATCAGGGAAAATAGGATCTGTGAAATCACCTGTAGTGATGATTGTGTGTGGTACCTGTCCCTTATAGCCCTGTGATTACAAGTCGCTAATATAATAAGTCGCATTTCTACTTTTACCTAATTTCTACAGGTCGCAAAACCAAAATACATGTATCACGAATGATTAAAAAACATGAGACGTTATCAACTGCTTCCAAAGAAGTCAAATGCCTCAGTATTCAGTAATGTACACAAAAACAGTAGATAGATCTATAAACTAGACTTTTTTTACCTCTTTACATACTGCGAGCTACCAGTAATGCAATGCCTTTGGATGCGAGTTTGCAAATATATGAATCAATGAATGAAACTAACAGAACTAGGAAAGAGGTGTCAATGGATGTTGGTCTGTTTTGAGAATGAAAGACCAGGAAATAGACTTGTGGTGAGTTGAACTTTGTGTATTTCTTTCCTTAAAAAATCTGTAAATTTTCTACATTCCTTGTGTATTTTCTCTCCCTATATAGAATATATGTTGTGCTAAATTTTCTCCCTAATTTTCTGCAGTCCTTATATTACGTCAATGCCTGCCTCCAAGAAATTTTCTAGAAATGTTCTTGAAATTCTGCCTCTATTTAATTATTGTTGAAATTCAGCTACTACTAGGAATTCAAACTTAGTAAAAATCTGACCATGTTTCAAAACCTTCAAAAGATTTTTGAAAACTATTTTTTAGATTCAGCTACAAGTTTATCTAACCTAGAGTTTGTAGTAAAAACCATTACCCTACTAAATTCCAATTAAAAATCACAAAAGATTTTTGACTTATCCTAGAGAACAATAACTTCCTCTAGAAACTCTATTGAACCCTTCTAATTTGGCGCTACCTCGGTGGAAAACCTTGTTGTAGCAAGGTCAAGTGTGAGTCGTGTCTCTTGAAACTTACTTTGTTGCTGATTTGCATATCACTGCGCTTTCACAACAGGAAATGGATTATGCACATCCCTGAAAGCTACAAGGTAATCCATTTTTTCACAGTGTATAAATCATAATAACTATTAGAATATGAAAGCCTAACTTCTTACTAAGGAGATTAGCGCTACAGTCAAACAGAAGTTTCCTCTGAGGTTTGGATTTTTGTGTGCGCAACAATATGGCATTTTACATCACTTTGTAGCATAACAACCACAAGTGTGGGATGTGAGTGAGGATCTAGATTATAAAGCTTGCATCCTTGATAATATACATTGAAAACACACCTATCTGTGTTGATACTGTATCTAGTAAAAACATCCTTTTTCATTTCTGTCAATGCATAACACCATAGAATATATAGTGCATCAATTCAATACAAATTGAAAAAGACCACAATATCATTTGCAACCAGGCTGTTTACATTTCAACATACACAAAGAGGAAATACTCTTCATTTCCAAAACATTTCATTGTGTATTGACTGTTTAGTATGTGACACTGAAAATCTGAACACTATAACAGAAAAACTGCACATCAAAAATTGATGGACAGTTATAATCATGCAACCAGGAAGAATCTTACTTTGGGAAATATCATTGGAGCAACTTGTATTCCAAAGCTAAGCAACCAGGAAGAATCTTACTTGGGGAAATATCATTGGAGCAACTTGTACGCCAAAGCTAACTGAATATCTTTATCAAATAATTTTGACAAATTCACTTGCGACAGACAAATACTCTTATCCAGGTGACGAAAAACAATTAACGCTTCTCCTCTAACTTTCTCTCTTCACCTCAGACTGAGAACTCAAGGTGGAAGGACTCTTGTCTTGAAGAATTCTTGAGTGAACGTGTCGGAAGAGGTTTTCCTTTGCTTGACCTGGCATAGACTCAGAACTCTCAAGGGTAGAATTATCGTCCTGCAACACCTGAGACTTTCCCAACACTGCTTGAACCTAACATGTCCTTGTTAAATCTTATTTTCCATAGCTCCACTGCACAATTGTTCTCTATAATGTATAAAATTCTCCCCCTGACTTTGACTTTTCTGAGCAAGTTGATAATAATTTGCTCAAAATCAAATCTGAAGTTTTCAAAAGAGCAAGGACAAAAGCAATTCCGTAGAAATCGTGCTTCAGTTTAGTATTCTGATTAGTTTTTAATTCCAATCAGAAGCGGAAAAATTACTAGTATTGTGCTAAAAACCAATTGATTAGCAAATAACAACAGGAAAATGAAGTAAAAATTCATGAAGTGATGAATATGCATTCCACTTCTAAATGTTGGTCCTTATGTGTTAGCTTATGACAGCCAGGGAAAACAAAGACAGAAAGAAATTATACACTTATTTCTTTAAGTTTCTTAAAAAAACTTAGTAGACACGGGAAGATGCTAAAAGATGCTACACTAGGGTCTATTTCCCTTTGGAGCAAACTGACGATTTGGGGCTTTTACCATATCAAACTATATTGACCTACCAGATTGCATACTATTTGTGAATTAGACGTTACATTTACAATAGAGCGTCGGAACATGGCGCAAAACTATCGCAAGGAAGTAGGAAAATCGTCAACAGAGACCAACGTACGTCGGAGTCTTTCCGTTGGCGGCGCAAAAGTTCTCGTAATTTAGGCAGGCCCTGCCTTTTGTTGTTTCCACCGGCCTCCATCTTGGATGTGGGGCCTCAAGCCTCGACGCACGCCCAAACTTATCATAATCAACCGCCTGACTAAACGTGCATCGTTATATCAACTTTTTCAATTTCCTCAGCATCTATAAGTATTAAAAGTATTTCAAAGATTAGCATGTTTTATAGTGTATGTTTATGTAGAGAATTTTAGCAGGTTTGGTATAAATAGGTGTATGAAAAAACTGGCATAATTATTTCATGAATCGGGGCAGGCGAAAGTAGTGCGGAGGGTGCATAATTTGCATTTGCGGGTGTCGAGGGAAAGGGCGAGGTGTCCCGAGCACAGAAAAACTACGTCCAAAACGGCCGTGGAGCGCCATTTACAGCTCCGGAAAGCTGATCTCCGAAGTCAAGGAGTGTTTCAGAACATCTTGCACGGACTTCTAGCGGAAGGAGAGGCCCATTCTGGGGGCCGCGACTAGTTGAATGAGCGCCATGAACCCAGCAGAAAGAATGGCTGCGCTGGGGACCGACAAAGAACTGAATGATTTGCTGGACTTCAGTGCGATGTTCTTGCCCCTTCGCATGGGGGACCGGGCAGAGGCGACCCCCGGGCCGTGGGGGAACGCTCCAGCATGCAGGAGATGGGCCATGGACCGGCCAGGGGGATGAGACCAGGCATGGAGGAGGTCGGTGGTGGTCCATGGTCGCACGGACCAAGTTTTGAGAGCAGCAGGGGGTACCCTCCGGACGGCACTCCTTTCAGTGAGGGGATGAGGGAACGCCGACTGTCCCACGACTAGTCTCAGCCCCCGTTCATCACTTCAGGGAGCATGCCTTCAGTTCCACCTTACCCTTCTCCACTTCCCGTGACGGAGGGCCAGGGTGCCAGGAATGAGCCGAGATGTCCCCCTGGCAAGTCCCAACTCAAGTTCTCCATTCTACCCCTTCAGTTCACCAGCCCAGAGGAGACCTCTTCCAGAGCCCAGCAGTACAGCAAAAAGAAGAAAGGGATCGGGGCATGGTGGGCTTCCAGTCTACTCTCCTAGCAGTTCAGATGAATTCAACCGTGCGTCCCCTAGCTACACGTCTCCCAAACCGTCGGGTATGTACGGGGAGGAGTACTTTAGCGGCGCACACAGCTCTCCCGACCCCTGGGGTACCGGGGGCGTCCCGTCAGCATATCCTTCCATCTTGACATCAACAAGTTCACACATACCTCCCGCGCCCGGTGCACCCTTCAGCAGTATTCACCACAATCCAGACTCGATGGGCTACGGCCCTCCAAGTCTTCCACCCATGAACACTTTCCGTGGCTCCAGTCTCAGCCACAACTCCAGCTCCCCCTTCGTCAGCATGTCTTCAGTCAACAGCAGTGATTCCGTGGTCCCCTCGAGCGTCTCCGCGTCGGGAAGCACCGCCGTGACCTCGCAGTCCAGCGACGCGCTCGGGAAGGCCCTTGCCTCCATCTACTCGGAGCCCACCAGCAGCAGCTTCCCTTCCAACCCGTCAACGCCAGCCGGCCCGGGGTCTCCGCCGGCGCTGACCGGCCCCACCGGCCAGTGGTCCAGACCGACCAGCAGGAATCCGACCTCGCCGCCAGGTCAGCCATTTGAAAGCCATCTACACGCACTACAGAGCAGGGTGGAGGAGAGGTTAGACGACGCTATCCACGTCCTACGAAACCATGCTGCAACCGAGGAACCCCCGATGGGGTCGGGAAGCTCCCTACACCCCATGGGGGGCCTCCTAGCCCCCGCCAACGGAGGTCCGTTCGGTCCGCAGGGTCCCGAGTTCAGCCAGTCCGGGATGAGTTCCCATCTCATGGGCCCGGGAGCGGTGTCCAGCAGCCTGCCAGGCAGCCAGTCCGTGCCTACCCAGAGCGTGACGTCATCCACCGACCTGGGGAAGTCGCAGGAGCCATTCCACACCCTGCAGGGCAGCGGGGTGGCGTCGGGGGACAGGGAAGGCGTCGTGAAGGTGGAGAAAGTGGAAACCAAGGAGAACGTGTCCAGGTCCGACGACAAGGCGAAGGAAGGAAAGGAGAAGGGCAAGGCCGTGCAGAACAGCAAGCCCAAGAAGAGCCGCCCGCCGTCGCAATCCACACGGGACTCGTTTGTGAACTCGCCCACGTCCTCGCTGGACGAGGGCCCCATCCCGGAAGACGAGACGCCCGAGGAACGAGAGAGGCGCGAGCGAGACCGCCGCGCCGCGAATAACGCCCGGGAACGGCTGAGGGTACGCGACATCAACGAGGCCTTCCGGGAGCTGGGCAGGATGTGCTCCTTACACCTGAACACCGACAAGCCGCAGACCAAGCTCACCACGCTGCACCAGGCCGTGGAGGTCATTACCGACCTGGAGCGACAAGTCCGCGAGCGCAACCTGAACCCGAAGGCGGCCTGCCTGAAGCGGCGAGAGGAGGAGAAGGTGGAGACCAGCCAGGCCCTGCAGGAACACGCGGTGGCGGCGGGCGCACCGGCTTCCACCGACCAGGCCTCCATCACCGGTATGCTGACAACCCTCAGTTCCCAGTTTAAATAGGGCTATCTGATCCTCCCTCACACTAAGCCTGACCATGACCAAACCTGTACTACTACTAGAACGCAGGCAAGTGGACCTGCCAGAATTTGCAGAACAAAAAATATAGTCCGTATTGGTCATTTTGCAGTAGCACAACTGTCAGGGAATCAATCAGAAAGCCCTATTTTTCTACAGAGATGGACAACAGTGAATGCAGATAGCTCGTAAGATTGGCATGCACTTAAGAAAAAGTATGACTGGAAGAAGAGACTAGGGCAGTGTAGCTTGTTCCCTAAGTTTGCATGTAACGTATGGCTACCAGCCTAACTCATGTTGCACCTAATGCTGTGTCACAAACATTGACCACTTCTCCCTTGCCTTAGTGCAAAAAAACAAAACTTCGTCAGGACTGATTCCACGTGTTCGGAGGAGGGTTTATATGACAACGTCAATTCTGAAACAAAATGTGAGATTCAGTCAGGTACAGGTAATCTCATTACAACACAGATAATTACCTGGCTTTGTGCCCATTGTTGTGCCCATTGCCAGTTAGTCCTGCCCCAAGAGTGAACCTAATTGGCCTTGATAGGACCAACCCAGCAACCCTAACCTTTCCTCCACACTGGAATCAGTCTGCTACGAAAACACCATGTACAAAACAAATGCAGTGATATTATCATTTCTCACCCAACCTCTGCATTCTCCGAAAGCAACATTACCGAGAAGTTTAGGGTTAGAAATACGTTTTTAAAAAGTCACTATATATATTTGTAAAATATATAAGAGGTATTATGAATTAATAACTATGCTATCATGGAAAATAGTGCTGGCTTAAATTGTGGTGGAGAATTTCTGGCAGTACGAGGTAGTTGTTGGCTTTATATATGCTAGGTTTAGCGTCAAGCCTCCACGGTGAGATAGGTTTTTGGTTTTTGGTGCTTTCTGAAAATGTCCAGGTTGGCACTGCATAGAAGAGAGGATATTTAAGATCACTTTACTGAAAGAAATATTTGTATGCTGGAGATACGAAGTATTCTACTGTGCGAGAAAGAGAAAGAGAGATTTAGAACTGGGAGTTTGGTGCAGTGAGCTTGTCAGGTACCTATCCCAGGGGAGAGTCAGGCAACAGCCTAAGTGCTGGGGGAACGTCCCAAAAGGATGCGATTTCAAGGACTTAGATGTTTTTCGGCAAAGGTTGCAGTTTTAACATTACAGTCACAGTTGCTAAAACGTCTCCTTTTTTCCCCACGAAAATTTGTCCCAAGCTTGACTGTCCCTGGGCAGGGGTAAAAAAAAGCTCTTCTTTAGACCACAGTTGTTTATCATTGTGTATATAGACTTGGGGTTGAAGCAATTTTTTGTTTGTTACGAGAAAGAAAATGAACTTCCTTGTTAAGGGTTAGGATAGCCAATTTCTGCACATCCGTGACCACTAAAACTGAAAGTGAGCATATTGCTAATGTATTCACAAAGGTGTAGTCAACAAGAGGTTTTTCTTCTGCAATTTGCCTGATCATATTTGCAAAAGACTGATCGGTAATGAAAACATTTCAAGAAAGGGCAACGATTTCTTTCAGGAAAGCTACATTTGAACTTACCAGTAGTTAATTTGGCTGTTAGAAGTTGGCAGACTGAAATATGACACCCTATTTTGAGGGGCAGGAACTTTGGCCTGCTGACGGCATTACCCTTACTTTGATACTTCTGGACTCTCTCTGCACCATTGCTTCCAAATGATGTCACCGCCATTAGTTGAGGATGAATTATTAGCAATATCGCTACACTCTGTGCCATTATTATTTATAGTGCTAACTCATAGATAATTGGTATACGCTGCCGTTTGAAAAGTGCCCAATTATTTTCGAGAAGCCATGGCGTGAGCCCCGTTCTTGTTGGGTGCATGTATGGCGTTTCTGTCTGGGAAATATTCTTTTTTCCTTTTCCTTGCAAGGCTCCCGTGTGGTTTGTGACATGCGATGGGGTCCCACTTTTTATGGCTTGTGCCTGTACTTATGTTTCCCATTAGCCAAGCTTGGGCCTGGCTTTATTTGGGGTCATTGTTTCCTTCTCGAGTTACCGAAATCTCAGCCCTTCTTCAAGATTTCAGCAAAGGAGAAGTCTGGCAGATTTTTGTCATTAGCTGGTAGCAGCGACAATGCTGGCTATATGCTAAAGTGTGGAGCCTCCCGTGGTAAGGCTCTATCTTAAACAAACACTCGAAGGCCAGGTGCATTCGGTAAACATCCCCTGTGCCCCCCTCGCAGGCTGCAGATCTATAAGCGTGCGACCCTTGGACTGTCACAACCGCGTTGGGAGAACACCACAATATCAGGCCAGGACAAACAAAAGGAAAGAAGGGCTTGAAATAACAGCCTACTGTTGTCAGTAAGAAAAGGCAGCATTTTTTTCCAGTGCGGCTCACCCAAATTTAAACCTCTGGAAAAAATATACTGTAGTTAGCTTCTTTATACTTACCAGTATGGCATGTGTTGTCAGCAGTTGATTTTTTTGTTCTCAGTATAACTACAAAGGTATTATGTTATGGTAGTGTTATAGTTTTTGTTTGACCATGTGCAGTCGTTCTATCACAAAGCCCTCCCCTCAAAACGACATTCCCGCAAAAACAGTACTCTACATGAGGGGACGAGACACTTGATACGAAAAAAGTTTCAATGTCATTTATTTTCATCTATATTTTACTACAATAAGGTAGTTAAGTAGATATATTTTGATAAAGAATGTCATATTAATGCCAGCTAGCAGGTAGATGCTTTAATCATAGGTAGAGGTGAGAATATGGACAGGGTGGTGTTTTAAAAAACGGTGATGTGGCAGTAATATATGATACACCCCACTGTTGTTCTACCAGCAAAGTCTCTAACAAAAAATGTAAGCCTCTACACAGAGAGAGCTCGTGATCAAGAGAAAAAAACATGGACACAGAAAAAAATGTAGCAAAGAATGGATTTTATTACCATTGCTATGTTCTGTACAAAGGTATGACAACATGATCTTGTGTCCTATTGAAGCTTCTCTACCACACACGAAACTCGATACATGAAAGTTCTAGCGTAAACTATCCGACTGAGATTCCAGCACTGTTTTTGAAATATTCCATGGAGATCTCGCATTTTGTAATTTCTGTACAGTAATAATTGAATAAGGGTTCGCAACCCTTCATTCTACGACTTTTTATTATCATATCTAACCCGAACCTAGCAGGCAGATTTGCTTAGTACATTGACAAAAATGTATAGTAAAAAAATGAACTAGCCTTGCAGGGTTGGTAGGCAGTTTTCTCCGCTTCTTTCTTGGTAGCCGGTGTATTTAAGCTTTATATTGTACGCTTTCGTTCAAACTTACTTGACTAGCCTAGGTGGCCATTTTTATGTGGAATTTCTACAAACAATTAGTACCTGTACAATGTAGTTATACATGACAAGGTAGTTCATGTAGTAGTTATATTTTATTTAACACTTTGTTACCTTTATTGCCAATGTTTTTACACTGACCAATATGTTGGGAGGACGAGGGTCTTTTAGAGGTTTGCCGGTAGGTGATCAAAAGAATAAGGAAAGCTTTGTGTTGCAGTTATAAGGAGGGCCTCCTTCTGTCTTATAAGTGGAAATAGCAGAGAAAAGCATCTCTGATAAGTACTTTTCCTTTTTGTATCAAATCAGGTTGTCTGGCAACCCCCTTAGAGACCCTTGACCACTCATCCCTCTAAACAACTACTAAGTCGGTATATGGTGGCAGTTGATATTCATTGGTTGATTGTTTTTTTCCATCATTCAATAAATTGTCCACCTTCTTGTACATAGGCATGGATTTCCTACATCTGAGTCCCTGTGTCTTTTTGTGATGTGAATCTGAATGGCAAACTAAATAACAACATTACAGTTAGCAGTTTCTTTGAAACTTTCAACTTCAATAGGTGCCCAAATGCTGTTTCAGCTTCTTATTTTAGCTAACATTAGCTTCTACAAATTCCATGTACCAAAACAGTCTTGAAAAATATACTACCCGTTCTATCTTCAAGACTAAATTATACAAATACTGTTTGGTAAATTCTTGATCATACTTTCCTTGACAGTGGTACAGCTACATCTCTCTGCCAGTTAGATTGGAAAGATTACACGTAGGACATGGTCAATATACAGAAGTTACAGTCTGAAATGTGTGCAGTTGGTCTGGCAGGATGATTCAACCCAAACAAACGTGGCAGAAATACTTGCCTCCCAACCTTACGAATCATCTCTCTTTATTACCAGTGAACCAAGTATAAGCTGTTCATTCAGCGGCCGGTCGGAATTTGCGAAATGCTGTTCAAGAATGCACAAACATTTACAGGTTACTGCATGAATCACAACCGAACACAGCAACCGCCAGTCAAAATAAAACAACTGCGGGCTTTATTTGTGGACAAATCGGTAATATTTTCACACAAGTCCGTGTATTTATGTGCCTACGTCATTGCTGGGGTTTTCGCGGAGCTACAATGAAATTACGAAGGGCGTTAGGTGGGGATTACTTGTAGCGACCGTGTCAGTAACGTAATAATGATCCATGTACACCTTTAATCTTCAGTAATTTCATAGGAGCCAAACAAAGTTGTCTCCGGCTCTGTGGCAGTCAAGTGGAAGCATTCAATAGGGATTGTAGAGAATGCCCATGTGTGTTATTGTAGCAATGAACATAAGATATGATTTTCATAGCTTCTGTTTTGTAAAAGATGTAATGTTTTGTTCAAAACTGTGACTTTTCCAAAGCCAGTGGAAAATCCAGTCTAGAACAAAACATTGCATTTTTAATAAAACAGAAGCTACCTAAAAAGCTAGAAAACTTCCCTTTCAGAAAGACAGGATATGTCCCATTCATATAAAACTACCGCCACTGAAACATGTCAGTCTGTGTACTAGGTGAAAATTGCGACACAGTTGTATATAAACAAATGTTGAAAGGGAATTAGAAGACTGTTTACTTCAGGGCTTAGATGGAACATGGTGGGTTTACGACAAAGGACAGCTGCAGCTTTCCTTGCATCGCAGTCTCGCATATTTTCAAGGCCACAGACTGAGTGAGTGTGCAGTGATTGTTTTGGGGGGAGGGCGAGGGAACATCTGGTCCAAAATCTGGGTTTTCTTGGGGGTAACTCTTGCAGGGCGCACAAGAGTTTTTCTCCCATGGCTGTGTTTATATTTTGCTAATTGGCTGTGGGATACAACTTTTAACGGAACACAAAACAGAGGGGACGCTAACATTAACCTCCCTGCTACCTAAACCTTATAACCAATACAAATGTGGTGCCAAATGACTATGCATGTACCTTACCTTACTACCCTTAGCATGCTGAACGTTTTAAAGCAGAGCACAACTACAAGAATTTTATTCTGAACTGTCTCAAAAACTGCACATTTTGAAAAAGGAAAAGCATACATTTTTTAAATATTCTAGCTTGAGTACCTTTTAAGTAACACTAATAGTTTCTGAGGATTTTCCTTGATCCCAGCATTTTCCTGACTGTGGCTTATCCAAAGTGATTGCACCAAATTTGTACTGTGCACAGCAGGGATGCCGCTGATACACTGTAATTGAAAACACTTGAGTAACTTCCCCTAAGGTTTTGAAAATGGTAATAATCCAGCAAAGTATGGAGACATGGCTTTCAAGAAATGTCCCCATATTTTCATACCAATCTCAAATCCCACAGAAAATAGAACATCTCAAATCATGTATCATCTTTAAGGTCAAATAAGTGATAATTTTAACAAAATTGTAACCTTTCATTTGATTTCTTTTTATCAATCAATGAACCTTTTTGCTGTAGTCATCATCTAGAGTGACAAAGTTTTTACCTATTTTGGCAACTTTTGGTCATGGCACCTACTTTATTTCTATACCAACTGTATTTCTGTACTGGTGTCTGTGAATGATTCAGGCTAGTCGCTGATCTACCCTGCCCAGGCTCAAACCCAAGGCAAGGTAGACGGATTTAAACACAGGAAATGATGTCATGATTAACTTACGAAGATTACATGGTGGTGCGGATGCCAAACTTGCTCTTCAAGTGACAACAACTACTTTGCTCTGGCACTGAAGAAATTCTTGGATTTATAGCTACTAGCATTCCTATCCGGTAGCGTTAGACCCAGTGAAGAATGAACACATTTTTCTTGAAATAAGATCTGAAATTGGGTTGCAACTGACACCATGCCAAGCCCCCAAATCACAAAAATATGGGGGCAGTCGGGCAACAAAGGTATTGAAAGAGAACATGGTTGGATAACTTGCCTTACATGTTAATGTGAATCATGTCTATAAATGCATTTGATTTTAAGGTGGTTATATTTAGTGGTACGAGCAAAATAATTATAATTCTCAGTGTTTTCGCAGTGGAGAGGTCACTGCGAAAATAAAACCACTGCAAAAGTTTCTCTGCATTTAGTAATTTACACTACATAGTACACACAACAGCTATCCCATGCCCCTATTGCAGAATGCTCCAAGTTAGTTGCCCACCCCCTGTACTGCGTGTAGCCTGGGTGCCAGACTGTTTCCAGAACCTACACAGGCCAGTTCCTCTTCTCTAGGGCCAATAATACCACAGCTGCCCCCAGTTAGACCTGGGCTAACTCTGGGATTCGCGTGCTATGGGTCTGAAACCCAGGCTATACTCAGATACTGTACTGTGTATTACTTGAGAGCTAGAGGAGGGGCGATGAACAGTTCACTCCTGTTTCTCGATCTCGTGGCATCGATGTTTGCCCAGCTGGATTTTGCCAGCGACCGTCCCCAGTATATCCAGATTTGGGTCATATTTACCGCCAGTCAAGATCCTGTATTTATTTCCTCTGTTGGCAAAAAGGTCAACAGCGATGACAGGTCAAAGGTCAGGAGCAGCCAGTCCTTGTCATGTTGAACTCAATTCACTGGTATCGCAGGAGAACGGGTAACAAGAACCTGAGATTTGTAACTCCCATAGAGTCTAAACAATCATGGATGGTTATGATAGTCCTGTACCATCTCCAAGCAGATCTTTGGTGGTTGCCAAACAGTATCAAAATGGCACAACAGTATCAGATCGGCAAGACAGTATCAAACTGCCAAGTACATGTATCCATTTGGTGTTAAAAAAAAGATACCACTACTAAAAAAGGAAGCCCGATAAAAAAGCCGAAGCATAAACCTCTGCTTGGACATTACTCTATACCCGAAGTATCTTCTTAGGTTGCTGCCATCAACATTCAAGTTTTACTCCACGTGCTCTGCTTTTCCATTTAAACGCCCCATCATCTGACGGCACACACAATATTGGAAACTCAGGCAGCATTCAAATTATAGATTTTTTTTTTCTTTGGAGGCGGCCCGTGTCAATATCGGGGAGTTTGCCCAACCTGGGTTTTGTTTGCAACTGACTGCATTAAGTGGGTCAGACAGTTTGAAGGAATGCCACTGCCTTGTACGTCCCTCGAGGCCTTTATGTGTTCACAGGGAAACCTGTAAATGGCCCACGGTTGCCTACGAAAAGGTAACGCGCCTGTCCAGTAATGTACTGGGCATATCTTCTGGGTGACATAAGGAAAAATGGAAGGTAATTTGAGAGGAGAGAATTGAAGTGCTGTCAGCAGCTTTTCAATCTTGAAGTCTGCAATGTTCAGTACATTGGCAGTTGGCAGTATTTTCTTTTACTTCCTGATACAAGATTGAAGTGAAGAAAATCATTTTCCCAAACAAATTTGTTGACAGCATTGTAGGTCACAGAAAAACATGTAGATTTAATAAAAAGTGTTATCCTTTCTCTAAAAAGGTTGTTCTTCTAGGTAAATTAATTTTTTTAACCAAAATTACTCCACGAATCTTCCTTCCCAAAAGTAAACTAATAGAGTAGAGTAGATATTTGCAAATTGTTTGCTGGCAAAAGTTAGTTCTGGTGGAAAATTTGCCGGAAAATGTGCAAAGTGAGTCAGGGTGCAATGATACTGACTTCCGTCATATACTTGTGTACCTGGTACGACGACATGAAATCTGCCTTCAAAGGTTCAAGCCAAAGGCAAAATTTATGGCTTGGTGGTTGTGGACAGAAAATTCTTTAGAGCAACATGATCAATATCAAGTTTCACATGTAAGAGTATCCCTAGTAGTAATTGGTTACACACTTTGCATTTTGTACTCTGTCCACATATAAAAAGTATCACGGAAAAAAATCATTGATGCTGAAAAATTTCCATTTTCCAAATTTCCAAGAAAAAACGCTCGCATTGCTTCTATGGATGATTCCTAATTTGGACAGTTTCAGGAGTTGTTGCATGCCAACATTGAGGCAGTCATGTGGACATGTAAGCCAAGCCGCTAACTGGGACCCATGCCAACTCAAAACTGTAGTTCATGGCCAACCGTTTGCACTCCGGTGCTTGCTAAAATCTATCACTTGAAGTACACTCAAGGCTACCACACTAGTGTCACTTCTACACTACACTACACTCACGTTGTCAATTATTGCTTGGGGGAACCAATTTTTTTGTCCAAAATCGGGCAAAATAATTGCACACTAGGTGTCATCCATAGAATTTCTTTGCTGTGGCCTTAGTTAGGTCAACAAGTTGGGGTCACTTTGAAGATAGTGCTGCCCAGCTGGTATAATTGTCAACAGGTTTCCTTTAATTCTTCTATTTTCAGCCACAGAAAATTTTCTCTGGCCGGTGATTTGAAACAAGAAAGCAAGTCCAAAACTTTTCAACATCATTTTCAAAACTTCCCAAGTATTTTAGGAAATTATTCATTTTGATAAACTGGTGAAATGTTTGTTTGTGTGTTGAGGCTTAGAAGTTGGTCAAG